CTTTGAAATTATTTTATTTATATAAACTATCTTTTTTTTTCCCCTTAAGGGATTGTTAAACTGTGACAGGTGCAATGAAAACAAAGATCTCTTAGGATTACCCTGATCTTTTTTTTTGCTATTGAGTTAGACTTGTACACGATGTCACATGTCAGCCTGTAGTGATATCAGCAGTTTGTAAGTGATGTGACGTGTTTAAGAGAGATTATAAAAGCCTGAAACCTTTATGACTAGGGCTGTGGTTTGCCCCAGAAAGAGTGGGTGGTTGCTTCCAAGTTGAATGTTTTATGCCAAGAGAGTCTGTACTGAACTTGCACTGCCAAGTCATAAATGCATAAAATATGTGTTGCTAATGGAAACACTGACAAGGCTCGAACTGTAGTGGACTGGCATAATAAAAATATTAAAATTTCCAGCTGCAGCTAATGTCTGACTCTTCTTCTTCTTTTTTTTTTTTTTTTTTTTTTCTGGTTGGCAGCAAGTGGTGGTCTCATCTCAGAACAAGCTGAAGTGTCCTGGAAAGTTTTTGTTGGTATTGTCCTAATGTGGACCCTATTTAAATATACAGGTCTGATTTAAAAAAGCAACAATAAAAACAAAACCCCCTTACTTGCTCTGAAGCCACTGATTAAGTGTTGGGCATGTTCAGATTAGATGTAACAGTAACTGGGACGTTTTATTTTGCTTTGAGTGAAGAAATCAGACCTGCATGCAGTGTTGTTTTCTGACAAGTGAAGCTTGGGCCAGTTGTTTTGGCAGAGATGTAAGTATCGCAGACTTCACAGGGGTATTTATTAGTGTTTGGCTCAATTAGTGTCAGTTTTCAGCGATCTGAATCGATGTGTGTCATGGTTAGGAATTTTCCTTCGTAAAATCTTTGTACGTCCCAAAGGTCAGAGTCATAACGATTTACGTTCGGGATGAAATTGCTCGAAGTGGTGAGTGGTAGGTGAGAGAGGATCCCAACGTGCTTTTGAAAATGCATCTAGAGCAGTTTCCTACTGTCAGAGGAGTGATAGGAAAATACGGGTTTGTGGTGTGGTGGACTGCACGCAGGTGTGGAGACCAGGTATTCCAGAATTTGCTTTACCTTGGTTTGATTTTAGTGTGTTTTTAATGCCGTGGGGAAGGATAATTAATGCTCCACTTCCTTGTCACTGCCAACAACCAAGTCCTTGCTTTACAAGGATGTTCTAAAGGTTAGTGGGTAAAATACTGAGAAAGCAGTTGTTGGCTTATCCACGCGCTGCTTACTAGCCCCTTCTGTTGTTGTTTTTTTGTCTGAACTAGATTATCAGTAGCTGCTGGAGTGATAGGCCCCTGTGTGGTTGTTGTTCCTCCCCTTGATGCAAAGCAGCTTTAGATGATGCTGTGTTCACAGTGTGCTTTCTGACACACGCCACTACCCACTCTCAGAATCACATGTCACTGACATCAGTTTTTGACTTCCATCTGTTCATTGCAAATCTTTTCTGATTGTTTCATACCATTCTGCTCTTGTTTTTACCCCATAATCTTTTTGCTCTTCTCCTTGCACCTTAGATCAGGAAGCATTCTAACCGCATGCTCAAGTATTCAACCTGCAGAGCTTGGTTGCATTAGGAGGGTCCCATGGTACCACTCTGTACGTGCCTCATCATTCTGCCTGGTTTCTGCTGTAGGAAGTCTTCTTCAGTAATCTTCAATAAACTTGCAGCCTTTGAACCTGCCTTGTAATTATTTTCGATCTTATTGTTTTTAAAAAATATATCTCATTCCACTGTATTTTGTTAAATTTGCCATTGATGGTTTTGTATTAGACTCTGAGTATTTCCTGCCTGTGACCATATCAATTACTGACTCAGCCCAGGCAAGAAAAGTCTCTCAAGTGTTCCTCCTTTCGTTTTAGAGGTCTTGGTTTTCTGTTGTGGTCTCTGTTTTTGTCTTAATCTTTCTCTTGTTTGTGATCTATCAGTTACTTTGCTGCCTGTGATGCAACCTTTTGACTTGTTATCTACTTTCAGTTACTGATAAAGCTGGTGCCTACCTTAAAATTTCAAAATGGTTCTGTCTGTAGTTTTTAATTTTATTTCTTAAAAGTGGCTGATCTTACTTTTGCCCATATATACAAGCTGCCTGTGTGTGTCTTCCCCACTTCTCTTTCTCATCTCTGTGCGTTTCACAAAATCCCTGCAGCTTCTGAAGCTCTGTGCAAAGTGTAGCATTAGTGCAAACCTGGAGAACGAGCCTTCAGCTGACTCCTTAGTGGGGAGTGTTATGGCAGAGAAACAGCTTACCTGGAGAAGCATTCATTCCTGGGACAGCTGGCAGCGTTGGATGTTGTAAAAGTTCAGTAGTAAAAGACTTATTTTAAAATCCAGGGATATAGCCACGACAGGCAAGTTTTCAAGTGCCAGCATGTTTCTTTGTAGAGCAGAGTACCCTTGTCAGGAAGGCAACTAGAAACAGGTTTTAGGGGGATGCAAACTATTTAGCTATAGCCAACTTGGATTCTTTATGGTGTATCAGACTTGCGAGTGACTGGCCAAAAAACTGATGATAGACTGAAAATGACAACGTCTTTGTTTGGAACGCCTACTTATAGGGAGGAGATGGTCACGATGCTTTGCTTTTCTGGAGCCCTCTTTTTTTTTTTTTTTGGCTTGGAACATAGGATCTCTGCAGTGCTCAAGATCTCCAGGGCTAAATTCCCTGCGGATGAAGGAGAGTAAAAGCAAGAATAGCTTGCCTGTTTGCTGAAAAGCCTCTTTATGTAATGGAAATGAGTGGGAGGAAAAATTGTGCTGTCTGTAGTCTTGCTTATTCTACTTCCTCTGTCCTTTGGGGAAATTGGAAGGTGCCTTGAAGTGTTTGACATGAGGTTCGTGGCATGTTTGAAAGCATCAGGAGCTTTCCAGACATGTTTAGTTTTCCAGCTGGACAGCTGCAGTAAGTAGCTTTAAGAGCTTTAATGTTCCAAAAAGCACCAGATATATCCTAGTGAATACATTTCTCATATTTTTTTTTGTTGTTGTTTTATCCATGCGTGGGTTTTACTGCCTTAAAGATCTTTTTAAGTCCTCAAATTATAAGTATAAATGTAGTGAAACCATTGTTTTCATATAATAAGTGTTCTATTGCAATTGTAGCTGAAATAACAACTGGATCACAAAAAGCTGCAAATTACATATGGATGTTTGCATTCCTCAGAAAAGGAGCAGCCAGTGGCAGTGCTGAGGAGCTTTGAGGCTCTTGCTAAATACACAGGTGAATAAGACCCAGTGGATGCAATACATTTAGATTTTCAGAGAATCTTGGAAAATATTTTGCATCAAGTTATTGAAGAAATGCAGCTGCTTTGATACAGAAGGAAAAATTATTTTATGGACTGAAATTTGGTTAAAGAATAAGAAGCAAAGAACTTAGTGGTGACATGCCAGGGTGATGTGTCAGAGGGATCTCCTAGGAGTTGGTTGTGATGCCAGCTTTATTCCGCATCTCCAGTGATGGGGAGCAGAGACCTAACAGTGGAAACTCCCATTTTGCAAGAGCTGTTAGTTTTTAAATGTCACGCTGATGGTGTGGAGTTGAGCGTTGAAAAAGGTGGCAGCTGAGCTTGATGGTAGGTAAATGTCAAGTTGTGTATATAAATAAATAAAACAATAATAATCTGTACTGCGGCGATGTGAAAATGCCAGCTGAGATGGTTGTCAGCTCAGGAATATTTGGTGGTGTCACTCTCAGGTCTCCAAAACCCTCAGCTCTGGGGGCAGTAACAGCCAAAACACCAACAGGGTGCCGGGACTCATCGGGAAAGCTGGGGAAAGGCAGCCAGATAGGTGGGCAAGGGGATGGAGCAGCTGCCCTGTGATATGGGGGCTGACAAAACTGGGGCTCCAGCTGAGGGGATATGATCAAGGTTTATGTGAGCATGAAGGCAGTGGTAAATGTGATTGTAGGAGCATGTACTGGGAGTGTGAAGGTGTCAGTTTAAAACAGATGAGAGAGAAGGAGGCTTCTTTGCATTAGCAAAAAGTATCTGGTATTTATCACCAAGCAAGCAGTGGCAGGCAGGATCATGGATTCAGAAAGGAATTAGACAAATTCATCTGCAGGCATCAAAGAGGCTGGGGGAACCTTCCTAATGAAACCCTGATGGGTGATTGGGGAATGTGGGAGATCAGACAGCAGAAAGTGTGCGGGGTTGCACGCTAGTCCTGGATTGCTGCTGTTGTGAGCTGTGTTCTGCACGAGAGGGGCTGCTGACCACACCTAATGGGTTTCTTCTTACGTTGAGTGATTCCCTTTTTGTCTTGGAGTATTCATTCTCAGGTAGTTTCATTAAATGAGCTGATGCAGTGGAATAACTGCTTAAATACACGTATTTTTCCATCAGCAGCAGATTCTTTCTTGTTTATAGGTTTCTTTATTTCATTTGGCATATCTTTCCTAAGTTAAGGTGTTAACTGTTGTCTGCCTTCCTGTCAATTCCAGTGCTATTGGCAAAATGCTCTCTGTTACTCTCAGTATCTTGCTTTCTTTTCCATTTGTTTTTTTTTCAGCAGTACCATTACACCTTGTCTGTAAGCAACTTCTGAGCTGTAAGGCTGAGACGATCACCCAATACAGCTTCTTATACTTGAATATTGATTTTCTTTAGTGTCCTATGCTATGGCTCTGTCATTATTTATTTGTCTCATATTTTGCTTGGGTTTTCAATACGAGCTTAAGACTTGTGTGGGACTTCTCTGGCCTTGAAGCTACTTTACATAGAGTTTGAATAGATGTCTACAATACTGCTCTTGTTTCTGAGTTTTCTTGGCACATCAGCTCACCTGACTTCTAATTTTATGGAAGGGTCATGTTTATAAAGGCCTTTAGTGAATTTAGATGCAGAAGGCCATGTTTTTTGGGTATAGTACATTATTACAAACCAAATGGTAAGTATCCCAAATCTATTAGCCTGTACAGTGCCTTGCTAACAATACTGACCTCTTGGGTAATTTAACCTCTTGTTTCAGGAAGTTAAGAAGGATGTAGAGCCCAAGGATGATGCCCTACCAGCCAAGAAGGAGAAACCTGGCAATGTAGCAAGCCTTGTGCAGCGTATGAATATCTGTGGGCTTCCAGCAGGAGGATTCCAGCCTCATCCACCACCCAAAACCTTCAAGAAGAGTATGGAGCATTTACAATTCTTTCACTTGCATAAACTGCTGTTGAGCGTTTTAATAAACATTAATTATCAGTTTGTCAGTTTTAATTATCAGCCTGTCAGTTTTAAGGATGTACAGAAAACTAGAGATACAGGAGCCATAACTTTTTAATCTAAGCCAAACTGTGCTCCTGGATGATCCAGTTCTTAGCAGCAGTAGGGCTGAATTCTGATGAGAGCAGAATTTAGACCTCTTCCAGATTCCAAAGAATATTGCCTTTCTTTTTTGATTGGTATTGAAGGCCATGGAAAGGAACTGTTGCTGTTCAATTTTATGTCAGCTCTGCTTGTATTGCAAAGTACCTGAATGAGAACTGCAGGCCTATTCCTGGTAATTAAACATTTTTCCTGCAGTCACTTCTTCCATCTAGAAAAGTTTTGCTTTCTAGACAACTAACAATACTATTCTAAAAATGACTTTTGAATGACTGAATCTGAATACAGTTCTTGATGATGGCATGTGTGCCCATTAGGTGCTTTCATCATCAAGCATTTGAAAATCTAGTCCAGAAAGTTAGTCTGTTTCCCTAGATTAACACAACCAGGCTCTGAAAAGGAATCAACTTCATCTGATACCAGTTCATATACAGACTGCCTCTTCTAATGTCCCTGATCTTGGAATAATCCTGTGTTCAACAGGGCTCGTTGCCTCATGCTGATTGCTGTGTAGCCATGATCAGTATGGTGCATACAGTTTGATCTCAAAATTAGCGGCGTTATGGCTAGACTCATTTTTCTAGTACAAAACGGTGTTCAGGAACCTTCCTTGAAACACACAAATGTTTATTTGGCATAACGGCAGTGTCTGTATTTCCGTTTTGCTTGCTGTTCCCTCTTTCTGGGAATGCTGTTTAAACAGCTTCTGCAGATTCTGTTTGCTGTTTTCTTTTGCCTTTGCCTGGGCAATCGGTCATTCCCTTCAAAAGGTCTTTGGACTATTTAGTCATCTTTCAGTTTCTAGTTCCTAACCTGGCAAAATGAGGTTTACAACTTCAAAAACAAAAGTTAAGCTTCTTTAAAACTAATAGCAAGTTTCCCATGCGTGACAAGGCAGGTTTTCTCTGTCTAGAAAGCCCCATGTGTTGGTCTCATACACCTTTCACTGAACACGTGTATATTCTATCAGGTGGGAAAGCTACAGGCGATATTCCTATCAGTTAGATTGCTGCGTTTATTCAGGAAAATGAAAATACAGGAGGTGTACTAAATTGTGTAACAAAGGGCTAAATTTAGTTTACCCTGTAGAAAACAAAATATAATGAGAGACAGGTTTTTGTTTTTTGTTTTTTTTTTTTGAAATGGACAGAATTGTCTGGCAGCTGCCATCCCAACAGTCCCAGCATTGTGTGAGGCTGGAATATTGTTTTCTGAACTGATCAGTTAGCTCCTTAGGTTAATCTAGGGATTTTCAAAACTGGAACTTTTGAAAGTAGATAGCACTGAAAACAGCTTGCAGGTGAGGGAGAGTTCTAGATGCAAAATGCATCTGTTTTTTAGCCCTATTTTAGAGAGAATTACAATATGAAAAGAAAAGTGGAAATCAGATGTATACCAAATGGCCGTGTGACTCCTTAATTTACATTTTTGGTGTTAATCTCGTTCAAAGGAGGAACCCTAAAAGCATTGTAGGCGGTAGTAAAGGCCAGTGAACTGTTTATTTCAATTATTGTTTACATAATAGTCCTTGGCTGCTGTATAAACTTCTGTAGACTTGAAAGAAGGGTGTATTATGTGAGCAATTGCATGTTATTAGAAACAACCTCTAGAGCTTCATGTTTTTGCATCTTGACTTTAAGCTCTCCAGAGCAGAGGCCATATAGCAGTATGTAGAAAACTCTTAATTTAGTGAATTTAGTGATCGCTCTCAGAAATTTTAGATGCTGCATATTACTCAAATGTCTGGCTTGTTCCATACTGAGGATGCTGGGTGTGGCGATCTTCTAAACTTCTGACTTTGGAATTTCAATACTGCTGTAAGAAGGCAAGGATCAATCTGTATCTATGTTTGTATTATTTTTACGCAGCTAATCTTATCTGTTGAAGCTTGAGTATGGATGGAGTACACAATGTAAGAGGGAGTACAGAAATTACATGAGTATAGCTCCTGTAAGACCACTCTAAGAAAACAGTGTGATGTACGTCAAGCTTTTGATACATATTTTTGCTTGAACAGGGGCAGGGTTGTTTAAAGACTGGAGGCTGAAACTTGCAGATTTTCTTCCGAGCAAGTGCTAACACTGCAGCCGGCAGCTATTGTCATCTTTGCAGGTTTCAGTCAGGAAGTAGCTTGAAAATTATTGTACTGGGGACTTGCTTGAGTCAACATGTCTTTTTTTTTTTTTTTTTTTTTTTTTAAATAGCAGTTAGTAATTATCTGTGCAGTGTTTGCTTATTTGTAACTCTCAGTGTGAGACACTGGAGGGCTTTCAAGCTACATTTAAGGTATAACTTGTTAGGCTGAAGTGACACAAACAAACTGGAAAAACAGAAGCAGAAGCTTATGTAGCTTTTTGGGGTGGTTTACCAGTGTTCTGGTCAGATTTGATACTTGGAAGCTGAGGAAAAATGAGTTTTCATTTTAAAATATTATTTTTCATTTTTTTTTGTATCAGAGTCCAAGAAGAGGCAATGTAAAGTGCTCTTTGAATATGTCCCGCAGAATGAGGATGAGCTGGAACTCAAGGTGGGGGATGTGATCGACATCAGTGAAGAGGTAAGCTGTTTCACAGAGCTGGTTGTGTCTTCGTGTGGTCAAAAGTGACTTTTTTATTTTTTTTTTTTAAATTTATTTTGTAATATTTTAAATACAAGGATGTTGGAAAATCGCAAAGGAGTTGGTATAGCAGAGGGTAAAGCTAATAGTTTAGGAGTTCTTTCTCTCAGGTTCTTACCCTAAATCAACAAATACTAGGGGAAGTATTTCATCTTCACAGCAAAATTTATTGTAATTCAGCACACTCATTTCTTTTTGAAAAGACTTCCACAGTTCTTTGGCTCTGTCAATGTGATCCTTGCTTTTAGGATGCTTATGCTAAAATTCTTTGACCATTTGCCTTTAACATGACATACCCTAACTTGGTTTAGGTGAAAAATGCTATTTGACCTGATTTTCCAGTTTGGTGCTTTTGTACAAAGTCTTTCATCACTTAAACTTTGAACTAATAGTAACAGCAATTGTTACAACAAACTGTGCTTGTTGTACGCTACACTTCTACCCACTCGCACAGAAATAGGGGACTTACAAACGCAGTTGGTAATGTGTTGGTAATTTCCATTTCATTTTCCACTGAGTAAGAAAACAATTAAAGCTTGGTATTGATGTTCAGAACTTGATGGCAATCACCCTGTGCATCTGAGAGGGGTTTTGTGGGGGAGTTATTTTCTTTTTCCTTGTCTCCTTGCTACCTGTTCCATTCAGTATCAACTAGTGTTGTGGGAGGCTTGATTATATAGGAAGAGTATCTCTTACAAGAGCTAAATCTGTCAGAGAACCTGTGGAAAAGACCAGAGCAATCACGGAAGGATACTTTCAGAACTGGATGGAAAACTGCACAGCATACTCTGGCCTCCATTGGTACAGCCCCTCCTTGTTGTTTCCTTGAGAATCTGAGAAAGGAAAAAGACTTAATATTTCTTTCTAGCCATGTGTCTGTTGGTGCTCTTGAAGTAGCTTTGAGATTGCATCTTTCACTCGGATGACTTAATTTGAAGAGAGTGCTAACTCTCCAGGATTCTGATAACTGCCAGGAATGACTTTTCCATTTTCATAGCAAGGAAATAACTATGCTTTTAGATGCAATTGAGTAAATGATTTCTAGAATTTGTTCTGTTAGCTTTGAATAAAACCAAGTGACTTGTTAAACCTGCTCACCAAAATCATAAATTCCATTGTGCGAGAGTGCTTTTTTTTTTTTTTTTTTTAAAGGAGTGCTCCTGGGTAACCTCATCAGTTTAATTTGTGGATAGTGCTTGTGTGCAGCAGTCCTGGCTTCATAAATGCTTGCACTGTACCATTCAGTAGGCAGAACAATGTCACTGGAAACCATTCAAGCAGTAAACTGCTTTGGGAGCTGCTGTTTTGAGTCTCACATGTTAACTTTCAGAATTATTTTGGGAGGGGTGCTCAGTATGATGTATCACAAGACCAAATAGCTAATGAAAACAAAAAGATCAAGGTAATTATTCATCTGGTTTCCTAGATAGAAATGATTTTTTTTGAGACATAGTTTGTTGTTTCTGTTCTCATGTTTATTTCTGTGCTGTGCTCCTTCCTTTCATATTCCTCACCAGGCTTTCAAAAAAGATTAAACTTCTTGAAATTGATACGTTTCCACAGAACTTTGTAAAAAATAGCTGGCCTAGGACAATTTTGTGCTGTTATGTCTCTCACAGAATGGGTGCAAGGAACACATCTCTTTTAAAAACAACAAAGACAACAAAAACACTTTAAAATAATGAAATGAAAATACGTATTTGTAGTATTTGTAGTTCCAGACTGGAACTGGATGGGCTTTAAGGTGCTTTCAAACCCAAGCCATTCCATGATTCTATGGCCAGAAATGTGAAGAATCATAGAAAATAATACTATTAGTTGTGGCTAACTTGTCTTCATTACTGTGAAATGATTCTTGCTTTCATTTATATATGAAAGGTGCTATTTATATAACAGGTAACTTAAATTTACAGATAATTTAGGATTACTATTTTGAGAGAGCATTTGGTCACTTCTTTGGAGAAAATAATAAAGCAAAATCACCTGCCCAGGGGAATAAGCTCAACCAGCCACACCTGATAACTGAGCAGTGTTATCAGGTGTAGCACTTGCAATTGTTTTCCTAAATTGTATGGTTAGTCATTTACAGGAATGATCATGAAATTAAAAGTGGAGGTCATGGCTTCATAACTAATTTTGAAGAGAGCAGGTTACAAGGTTCAGGAGCAGGGAAGAAGGCCTTTGTGCTATGTGGCTGAATCATCAGGGCCTTTTGTTTACAGAACTTGTGAGTTATGCATACAGTATACACAAAGTGCATGTGGTAATTGTATAATTTATCTAAACTTTTTGTATCTCCTTCATATCTTTTCTCACATTCCTGTCAGATGCAGCACTAAAGACTAGGTTTAAAAGAAACTTATTTTTGTAGTATTGTATTTGTATTGCATAATACAAGTTCATAAGGCTCAACTACTGGATTTTTTTTTGAAGGTCAGACTGGTAAAACTGTTTCAGTCATTTTTTCCCCCTTTGTTCAGAAGTCTGAGTGTTCATCTTTTTATAGCAACAACTTGATGGCATTCAAAAAAAGTACTAATGCTGTACCAGAGCTGTATCTCCCTCTTGTGGAAATTGGATCCTGTAGTAGGGTTTCGAAATGGAAGATGTCCTGAAATTGTCATCATTAGTGTTAGCACCCAGAAATACACAGTTGCTCTTCACCAAGCCACATAGAACCTTTTTTATTTTCTTCATCTGGTCTTTAATGTTGATTAAAGATGCATTCTCTGGTAACACTGGTTTGTATGTCATCAGTTTTTTTAAGGACATCATGATGAGGATATTGACATATGCTCAGAAAACATTTAATCTATTCCTGCCTGTCTCTGAACCTGTCATTGCTTTGCCTTGCAAGTCTGTAGAGTGCTTTGCTGACCTTTTCTAATGGCAGAAAATAAAGGGATGCTTCAATATCTTTCTATATCCTAAGCATGAAAAGACCCTTTTTCATGGCTCTTTGGTAGTATGTGTGATTCAGGGCATTTTAATTTCAGTTTTCTGTCATGTATTATGTAAAGCATGAGGAGCTGGAGTGTGATCAGCATCTGTCAGGAATCTGCTTGAAATTTGATTTGCTGGACCAGTCTCCATATTTAAACCATCCACAACGAAGCTATATTCAATAACTAGGATGTCTTTAAAAAGAAAGGCGTTCTTTTTCCACTGCCTGTCTGTCTCTGTAGCTGCCAGGCTTTGCATGCATTCTGCCTGCCTGGAGGTAAGCTAGGGTTTAAAAATTATGTCTGTGTGTCAAGCGCAGTGTCCTACAAAGCAAGGCTATAAAAAGATTACATAAACAGATGCTGTTTTATTCTGTTGCTTTTCTTTCTCTTCTAAAAACAGCTTTCCAGCCTTAAAGCAGAAAAACTTCAAAATATTTCGTTTTAGTTGATCTTGTCTCAGTTTTACATATTGTTCATTGGGCAAATTACCTTCACATAATTTCAGATATCTTCAAATGTGTTCATAAAAAAAGAACACAATTCTTATTCAGTTTTCTGGCATCATATTTTACACCATCACCTACGTGTGCCCTGCTTTTCCTGGTGTTTTGAATGGTGTCATATTCATGATGAGCCTTCCATTAAATATTTTAGAGTGAATAGCACCAGGAATCCAAGCACTTAACAGATCATCACAGGTTTGTCCTTAAAACAAACCGAAACAGGTTTGTTTCTAGTACAAAAATGAGATAGTTTGTGAATAGCAAAGCTAACAAAATTTCATCTCATTTCATATCCAGTGGACTTGTACTCTTAGTCACAAAACTCAGGCATCTTGGCTACCTACGATGGTTGGCCAACTCAGATGGGAAGGGATCCATATCTTCTAGCTGATCTAGAGCTAGGCATCTGCTCTTCAGCCAGCTGTTTCCTGCCGGAAGGAATGGATGACAGAGTAGTGGAAAACTAAGCTGTGATGTCCCTAAGGACTTTTTTCTACTGAACGTCATCTGTAGAAATTATCTTTGATCAGAAGACACAAGTGTTGAAGTTGGTCAACGGATACAGGGCCAATGGAAATGGGACTGGTGGGAACTGGACTGGCAACAAGACTGCATAAAGATTGCCTTAAGTGAAGTATGAATTCAATTGATATACATTTTTTTAGATTGTTTAAATTGCTGTACTTAAATGTTGCAACAGGTGTTGTTTAATTTTTTTAAATTAATGCTTAATTAATTTAAAATGCTTTAAAATTAAGCAAAATGCTTTTGCTTAATTAATGTGCAAAATATTTCTGTACAGGTAGAAGAAGGCTGGTGGAGTGGAACACTAAATGGCAAGTCAGGGCTGTTTCCTTCCAACTTTGTGAAAGAATTGGAATCGACGGATGATGGAGAAACACAGGACTCTCTGGATGACGCAGGTGGTATTCTGTTTTCTTGTAAGCTCATAGCAAAATTATTTTAAATCTCATACAATTCAGAACATTGTGGTTGTAGTACAATCTGATTATATTTGATTCTAAGAATAAAGTATTTTTCATGTCTAACAAATACCAAACTGGACACTGGATCAAACATATTCCTTGGATTGTTTTTAAGGGAGCTTTTAAATTTAGCCATTCCTTTTTGGCTCTGACTGTATAGCGAAGACAGAAGCAGACCGTCTGTAGCTGAACAGTAGTTTAAATGCTGAGAGGTGCCAGGCAGGTACATGCTTTCCAGACAATTATTTAGTCTGTTGCCTTGAAACTGTATTTCTGAGGCCTTATGTTTTTGAAGACCTGTTTGAAGGCTGGGGAACTTTGATATGATATTGCTGAAATGGGAGCAGTCTTTGGGAGTAGTGTCCTGAAGGGAGTTAATGCTTTAAAAAAAGCTGTATAATGTTCAAGGGCAAAAAGTGTGTGTTTTTAATATTTTTCTGTCCACATTTACAAGATGTTAAGTAATAATAGTTTCTAATAAGGGTTTGCTCAGAGATGGGGAAAGAAAAAATAATTGATTTTTTGTAAATTCTGGAAATAATTTCAGTAGTGTAAGCCAAGAGTTGTTTGATTTGAGCAGTCCCAAATAGTTCAACACCTATGTAGAGCTTAGTTTTGCTGAGACTAGTGATATCTGGTGAGATGAGTGTACAAATTGGTATGTGTCCATCTTATTTCACGAATACTGGGATTCAGAGAAACTGAACAGTAATCTGAAATGATTGTTTTTTCTGTTATTGTCTTAGAAGCTATGTTTTTCAGCACCACCACCACCCACCCCCCTGCCTGGGGGTTACATTTAATGCTCAGTACTTTGACAGTCAGGTTCTCAAGTATCTGCTATATTTCTTTACTCCTGAGAAAGAGTAAATTCTCTGAGCTGTGATTTTTTGGAATTTTCTCATTAATGAAATTTGTAGCTATCCACTTGGTTGTTTTCCTTTTAGTTCTCTAAATGAAGGGTAATATAGTTCAGAAACTGAAGTAGCAACACAACTTCACAGTGTTACCAAAACATAAATAAATTCACAAGAAACTGTTTTCAGGTATTTTTTTGGTGCTTTGAGCTGTAGGAAAACTTCACTTGCTGCCTTGAGAGGCATCAGTCTCTGCTACTGCACCACAGTTTTCTTTGTTGTGGTTGTTGAAACAAGTGCACTCATTTTGGGGTCATGATGGCCCTTTATTGATCATAGCCTTTGGCAGCTATAGCTCTGCTGCATGTGATAAGCTTTTAAGTGTTGGACAAAACCCATGTCTTGCACTACTCAGCAGTGCTTCATAAAATCTAATGCTGATGATTACAGACTGTGGAGCCTCGATGTTTGAAATGGCAAGGAATATTAATGATCTAATGACTGAGTTGCCAGAGTATTCAATGTATGTTGTTTCAGAAGATCTTATGTTAAACATACAGCTAGACAAAAAAGGGAGGTATTGTAGCTGCAATAAGCTGTAAGAGCAATGCACACAGCTGTGTCTCCTCCATATTTTTTTCCTCTGAAGAGCGAAGAAATAATTTCAGCTATTAAAACAACTGTGTTTTTTTTTCCTTTCACATTCAGAGTCTGTTTTCAGTGGTCCTACCTCACCTGTGGCTTCTCCAGGGAATGGAGCTGAACCTGGATCTGGACCAGCACAGCCAAAGAAAATACGAGGTGTTGGGTTTGGAGATATCTTTAAAGAAGGCTCAGTTAAACTTAAGACAAGGTTATCCAGTGGTGAATCAGAAGACAAAAAGCAAGATAAGGTATGTAGGGGTTCGTGTTGTTATTTTGGGGTTTCCTGTATTTAAAAAAAAAAGTGTGGAAACTGAAAACATAATCTTGTAGATGCTGGCAGTTTATAAGATTTGTCACTATTGTTCAGTAATCAGGCCATAATCATCGGATACCAAAGGCAAGGCAAGAAGAGGGTCTTGCCTATAAAACAAAGCAAAGCACCTTAAACTTCTTTCACGGTAAGTTATCTACCATGGATTCCAAAAGGTCTAGTCAAATGTTTTGACTTTTTTTTTCTTTTAAAGAGGGAAGTTTAAACTAACATGAAAATTGTCCTTTCAAAAGCCAGGGGTTTAAAATATAGCAGGATGTGTACCTACTGTAGTCTTTGGTAGTTCTTTTCTCTGTAACAGATTTTGTATCTAATCAGAGGCAGGACTGCTGAGTTTCTATACACGTTTAAGAAACGTTTGGACTATGCACTTAGTCACATGGTCTAAAATTTTGGGTAGGCCTGTGTGGTACCAGGATTCGGACTCGATGATCCTTATGGGTCCCTTCCAACTCGGGATATTCTATGATTCTAAGTTGAATGTAGCCTTTAAATCAAGGAATATTTGGGGTGTTTCTTTTTTTTCCTTCACGTTTTGGTGGATGTTGAAATTGCCGTACTGTGTGTCATGTGTTATTACCAATGGGAATGTCCTTCAGTGAATGCTGCCAAATTTTTGGCTTCACTGGTGTCTCCATAACCTGCAGATTGGGTGAGCCTGAAAAGTACAACTTAAAAATTTTATATCCTCTTTGTTTTCCCTTTTTGTTTGAGTGAATAGTGAAAGGGGTACTTTTGATCTCCAAATCTAACTTAGAAGTTAGGAAGTATTACAGAACATCACATTATTTACTTACTTTAGTTTGGTTTTGGTATATCTGAACTCAAGGAAGCTCTTACCCCTCATAAGTACAACAGCAATGCATTTATCTTGAAATTATGCATAGAGTTATACCAAGAACTTTTTTATGGTTTTCGAGCTTTTGACAGCTGAGGTCATCCAGTGTTTAAGTTTTTTTTCAAGCGATCAATTCAAGAAAGCTTCTAAATCTTTGTCCAGATTCTTTTTTTTTTTTTTTTTTGTCATCTGTGGTTGTGACTGTTTTTGGAAAAGGTAATCCTGACTGATTTGTTTTCCTTTGCCTGCCCAGAAATAATTGCGCTGGTGCAGGGCAAAAAGTGACATGAGGGCAGGAAGAGAGTCCTCAGGAAGAGGGCAGGGACAGATACTTTTAATGTATTGGTTCCACTCCCACCTCAGTAGCAAAGCTGAAAGATGCTTATCCAACTGTAGATGTTGTGTGCAACCTTTTTTTTTTTTTTTTCTGATTCAATCAAAATATCAGATGAGTCAGAAAACCAAAATTATCAAAGTGTTGTCATTTGTAGCTGGGGTATCGATTGTGAAGTCCCAGGGAGGGCACATGCATTTTCCTCCATTCTTTCCAGGTTTATACCTCAGTACAGGAATCCATGGGAGCCACTACATTGTTGTGTGACTGCTGTTAGAGGAGGCTTTTAGGAGCTAGCTTTCTCAATTTGCCTTCTTGTTATAAGATTGCTTGTCCAAAGGCATGCTTCCTCACTTTCCAGCTTATAACTTGGGAGTGGTAAGATCCTGCCTAAAATACACTGAGTTGATAGGAAGCCTGCTCAGTCATTTTGAACTGTTCTTTGTGCAGAAATACTAAGATATGTTGGCGCTGTATTTGGTTTGTTGGCCAGTCTGCTTAGTTGTTGTAGGCAGCTTCTCAGCAAGATGGGAAATGAAGTGAGAAAACAAACTTCTCGTAGTTTGAAGACAATGAAATAAACAGTTGAGGTTTGCATTTAATATTTCACTTATGCTTATTGCCAAAGTCATCCCAAAGGCAGATAGGCTTAGAGAATAGCACAAAGAGCCCTATGGGGAAAATTCTTATGAAGGTTTTGCTAAAACAGTTTCTTTAGGTACATGCTCAACTCACTTTGGATTTAAGTGGAGGGATGCTGGAAGGGCATTCTCCGTCCTTAAGCTAGTAAAGAAATAAAAGCTGTCCTCAGGAAGCTCTAGAGAAGAGAGGGCTTTTTTGTTTTTCCCCTATGGGAATTCAAGGACTGCTCAGCACAGGAAGACTGAGCACTTAGACTTGTGAGCAATTCAAATGTTTATTTGCTTTTGTAAGATAGATTTCAGTCAGCTCCAGCATCCTGCATGGGTTCAGGTTATTTATACCCTGTCTGCCTAAACTTCCTCTCACACTAATTGCATCCTTTTTTTGGAAGGGGAGAATGTAGAAAACTTTCCATACTGGCCTTCTTTAATCTCCTAGGTGGGTTATTTTAGGGCTTCCTTTATGTTTTGGAGTGAATTAAATTGCATATGCACTCTGAGAACATCACAAATGACCATAGCTTCCTCTATGGTATGTCAGAGGTACCAAACACCAGCCCACAGACACCATCTGTTCTTAAAGAGACTCAGGCTGGTTTCTGTGGCATCAGTAGGTCTGCAAAGTCTAGTTATAAAGGGAAATGAACAGAATAAGTAAAAGCAATGGGATTTTTCTCGTCAGTAACACTGCTAGGGTTGCTCAGGTAAGCACTGACTAATGTTTGTAGCTCTTATGACTGTGAAGAAAAGAATGCAGCTGATGCTGTCGCAGTCTTCCTGACAGCTCAGTAAATGTCTGGAAATGAAAACTGGTACAATTATTTTGGTTAGGTGTTAACTCTGAAACTTCATACCAGTTGTGATGCCTCTGTGTTTTTTTTTTGTGTAGGAGCAAATGTCTTTTTGGGTTCTGTTCTGTTTGAATCTTCAAGAGCGAAGGGAAGCTGGGACAGGCTTTCACATGCTTTTATGTTTGCCTAAGTAATGAAAAACTGATTACCTCTTCAGCTGAGATGGTTTATGGTCACTGAATATTCCTGTGTCATTCCAGTGCCAAGTAACTATGGTCAGACTTACTTTCAGCAGAGCTGTTAAATGACCACTTCTGTGCCAGAGAAGGCAATTTCAGAGTAATGGAACAGTAACACTTGGGAAGATTGAAATATGATTGCAAAAATTGAGCTGGACATTGCCAGATATAAAGCAGTGTGCTTTGCCTTCGGTCAGTAGACAAAATTCTTGTTGTGGTGGCCATAATGAAGTAACTGCAGTAAATTAAGTACTTAAAAGAAAAACGCAGTGAATCTCTTGGAGATAATTTCACATCATCTCAGCTACTGAAAACATGAGTTTCTGATAACAAAGTTCTCTTTCGTTTCTGTAGTCCTCACCTCACCATCCCCCTGGATCAAAGCCAATTCATTTTCCTTGCGTAACAAAAATGGAAAACTCGTCAGAAGGAGCAAAATCAGAAGGTGAAAGTAAACCAAAAGGTAAGGCTAATGGAAATGTGCATCTGTTGCTTGATAGACTTTGGTGAAGAAGTATTTGGTTGTCAAAACTGATCTGTTTTCCCCTTGTTGGCATTATACTTCCGTGTATACTGCTTTTTGTGCATAATGTTCTTTATCTTTAAGAAGTTATTCAAATGCAAAAGTGTCTGAAGGAGTTTTTGTTTGCATTTCAGTGAGAAATCAGTTGTAGGGTTGTCTCGCAGAAGCAAATAAGGCAGCGGTATTAAGTTTGTGTTAATTTGTGTTGACGTGCTTAAGCTGGCTTTCATTCTGCCTAGCTTTTAGTGGCCAGCTGGGATGCTGGAAATCTGTTGTTGCAGAGCAGCCCCCCAGCTTGGTTTCTGTTCCTGGGTGATAGGAATGATGCTGTGTTTACTCTGGAGTTGCTCGTGTGTGTGCTGTCCATGGTTGTATGCCGGGTTTCTTGCATCAGAAAGTTGTTGTTCCCTTGAAGTCTATTCTCCAGGTAGCCTGGTTCCATTTACAGTAATAAAAAAGAAAAAAGATTTTTTTCTCTGAGAATTTATGAGTTTGTTTAACTACTAAATTGCCTAGCTTTATCTAGAGAGCTACTTTTTTTTTTTTTTAAAGTCAACTCAAAACTTCTTTTGGGAGTACCAACCACATAAAAAAATAGTGATGTGTTGACAGCTCATTTTGCCTAGTTCCAGGGACAATGCTTTTCAGCTCCTGTATTGGAATTCCAAGTGTACTTTTCTTTTATGTAGAGATCAGTTATTTTTGCATAAATGGGTTATTTTACATGGAATGCATCATTTGCAGAGTTACGAAAACTTCAACAAACAGCTGGCTTTTCGCCTGTCTTTAGGGGTTGTGTAATCTAGCAGAACAGCGCACTTGAAACGGTGGGTTTGTACAGCCAAACCAGGGTTTTGGCCGAGTTCTAACAGCAAACAGGACATCTGTGCCACTTGAGTCATGTTGCTTTATTTCGTGGGATAGATGTATGCATGGCAATGTTTATAAACAGCCGATTACTGTTTAGGAGTGTTTAATGTAGTGGGGTAAGAGTAGTTAACACTTCGGTTTTGCCATTCCAAAGCATATATCGAAATAAGTTTGTGTATGATACATTTCATGGAAATCGATGCTCACTTGGACTTTATCCTGATTTTGAAGTCTATTAGGGATTTTACTTTCAGTAGATTAAAATTTTCAGCTTTTAAACCGTTCCAGTGCTATTGCTGGAAGTGCACTTCCTGCAGAGCCAGCAAGACAGTGTGCAGCCCAGAGCATTGCGAAATTTGGCTTGTCTTAAACTTTGCATAAAAATTAACCCAAGTCTGTCTGAAAAATCTGGGTGTTCAATACCAAACATTCAAAGCATTCAGTACGTAGCTCCTTTCATAATTTCAAGTGCATTTCATGCTACAAGTACAGAAATTAGACTAATCCGGTTAGTCATGCTGAGTCTCTGCTGCCCAGATAAATATTGTAGGAGATTATTAGTAGATAATACCTATAGAAATAACTTGAAAGTATCTTGTAACTTTTGAAAGAGCTAGGTTTTCTTAATGTTTTTATTTTAATACAGACTGCACAGTTTATGCATCGTCAGTTTTGAGAGAGTTTAAAATAATCTGTGTTCAGTATGTTAACAACAGAGGTCTCCTAAAATATTTAGACTTGTGTGCCTTAGCTATTTCTGGGAAGCTTGTTTTGGCCTCTGGTGCAAATATGTAAAATATTTTGTTTAAAAAATAAAATAGAAATCTCCACTTGGTGATTTCTCCTTCCCTTTTTATGTCAGAGGACATTATCTGTGATTCCTGCTACTGTACGGTCACCCCTGAGTTCTTGGAAAGGAGAAAACTTAGTAAATGTTTTAATAAAAGGTAGTTCAAAGTTCAGATTTATTACTTTGTAAGCACCATATGAAAGCGTTAGAAAGTGAAACTGGACTTCTTTATCTCCATGACTTAGAGAATATCAGGCTCACAAAGTAAGACGGTGAAGTGGCAAATTGTACGTGCTCTTAATGAAGGTGGGTGGATTTTTTGGGTGGAGCTGACCACCTGGATGGGCAGAAAGATGCAGCCTGCAGGGTTTCAGCACTTGCTGCCTCCTGCCTTCTGTGCAGCTGCTGCAGAGGAAAGTCCTTCCTGACATGGTTTTTGTGTGCTGTGGGACTTGGTGTGTATCCAGGGCAGGAGGAGAAGTGCATGGAGAAGGAAAGAAGCAAAGGTTTGCGTAGTACAGCGGTGCTGGCCGACTCTCCCAGCAGCAAGGAAATGCGTGCCTAGTTACAGAATCGGGCTGTGTACAGGAGATGGCTTAGGGTTGTGCTGCCGCCTAAGCAGGGGTGTATGCTGCTGCTTACCTGTGTGTGTTGTCCAAGTCCTGGTATGTTGTGGCCGCACGATGGTATTCTTATTGCCCTATACCAAGTAGAAAGACAGGAATTATTCTTTCTGCTTTTACAGAAGGGGCTGTGACTGTCAGTTTAGTCATTCAGTTGAGCTGTGGTTTCAGGTGGTTATATCCAAGGATTCCTTTGCTTCAATTACTTGTTCTCATTGCAGAATTTCAGCAAATGTGCTGCTTGGGTATTTGAAGTTCCTCTAATTTTATGTCACCACGAAACAATTATGTATATTTAATTAGGCTTATTATAAAAATCTCATATAAACTCGCAATAAAAATCATGAATCAGTCTTTCGTCTAAAGCAGCAGAACTGAAGGCAGTGGGGATTAGATATGTCAGGTAAGCCGTTACAATTTTAAGTGAGCGGTCTGTTGGATAAAAATATTTTAGGGCATTATCCCCCTGACTCCATGAGGATTTATCTCCCGTTCTCTGTAAATATTGCTACGAACTTGATTTGCTCATGATGTGAATGACACAGTGAACACTTTGTAGAGCAGCATCAGATGGCTGGTCTGGAAGGGAAGGGTGATTACAGTATTAATTTCTGAGCTCTCCTTTTGGATAGCACAAGTAAGCTTTTATGTACTTTACTACCCGTGGTATGCAAATGTAGTAATTATGCTGTGTCGTTCCAGCCAAGGAATATTGCAGGACATTATTTTCCTATGAAGGCACAAATGACGAACTGAGTTTTAAAGAAGGCGAGATTATTCAAATTATCACTAAGGTAAGATGTTCAGTCCACTTTAACCACTTGTAACTTTTGTAAGTTATGCACACGTAAGTAGAATATAGACAGGAGAGTTTATTAGGTTGAATAAAGTATTTGCTAAAATATTTAAATAATTTCAGATGTTAACACACATACTTCTGTTATAAACAAACTAAAGTTTCTATCTAGTTAGATCATGTGATGGATTTCTATGTCACAGAATTAATAATTTGTTTTTTTCCCCTTATGTCTTAACTTGGTTATTTTTTCCTCAGAAGTGTATTCTGTCTTCTTTCTTCATGCTTTTCAGACTAGTGAGCCTGATCAGTTGCATCAGAATCACTTTTATGTAGTACAATTGTGTGTTATTCCGACTACAGAAAGTATTTACTGAATGTGTTTCTAGTGGAGGAAGTTGAGAACATTAAATCTAGTGGAGGAAGTTGAGAACGTTAAATATTGTGCATTGAATCATAGCTGGTTTTACGTACTTTTCTTCCACTTGCAGATGTTAGCCTTGTATAAATGAGGAAATATAATTTCATATCCTGTATTTTAGAAAACAAAGTGACCAAACATAGTCTGATCTTTAGCTGTTTCCCCTTGCTAAGGTAGCTAAAGTATTCTTCTAAGTAATGCAATATTTTGGAAAAACAATTATATTGTGAGAAACAGCTACAGGAACAGCACTTTCAATCTATCTGTTCTGGGAAAAATAAGGATTGATCGAAATATCCTATTGTTTGTTTTAGGATACTGGAGAGCCAGGCTGGTGGAGAGGAGAACTCAATGGTAAAGAAGGAGTCTTCCCTGATAATTTTGCTGTTCAAATACACGAACATGATAAAGACTTCCCTGTAAGTTCCTATATATTTCATCTAGTGTCACAAAAACGAATTGACAGAAATGCAAGGAATAAAAGACTTCAGCACATACTGCTGCTTCAAATATTAATACAATTGTGTCAGCTTTTAACTCTGTCTCGAAGTAGCTATAACCAAGAAGGTCTAAAGGTTAAACTTATTTTTAAATATTTAATTGAAACCTGCCTTTTCAGATTAACTGTAATTAAAGAGGCTGATTAGGTCATATAGAAAAACATATAGTTCTGATACTGTGGTGATATGTGTAACTGATGATTGAATTAAACCCTAAATGTTTTGAAAGGAAGCAACCAGTCAGTTCTGTTTTATTCTGTTCTCTAAGTAAATATAAGAACAAAATACTGAATAACCCCTGGGGGACTCACTGGGATTTTTCTGTGTTACGACCTGCCAGTAGGTTGCAGCATATAATCTTTGGATGGGATTTAGAAATATTTTTTTTTTCTTTTTCCTCCATTATCTCTTGTGTTGACTTAAAGAAATCCGTATTTTTATGTGGTACTCCTTGTTCTTGTAATTCTTAGTCCATGTTTTGTCAAGATTAGTATGATGTTTTGGTTCTGACAAGTGTGTGTACCAAAGATGGTCAAGTTAACACATGTACTTTAGTGGGAGTGCATTGGACTGAGCCCATACAACTTCAGCAATGTTTTTATAAACATCTGAGGGTTAGTAGACTTTTGTGACCGTTTTATCAGTGAGCATTGTCCTTGGTGCAACCACGTTAGATGAGTGTTCTAGAGCATTTTCATTAGCTGGACTCTGGAGGTGAGGTGGTTTGAGATGTGTCCCTTGAGGTAAGCTGTACCCTGTGATGGGGGAAATTCAAACTTATTTTTAACAGATCAAGGAAAACAATAAGTGGCTGCCTAGTACAGTAAGGTTATTGTCAACATACAAACTGTGACACCTTAATATTTTGCAAGTTTTTAATGGCTGGAGTAGTTCACGCATCTTTCTCCAGTATAAGACGAAGAAGCTCAGACGAATGTTTTTCATATAAATGAAGTGCTTGTTGCGTAATTAAATAGTTTTCATGATATTTAGTTTAGAACTCTTGTTCAGTGAAAGTAACCTTTTTTGATTTTAAAATTTACCTGATTACTTTTTGATACTTCCGTTGTACTAACAAAGATTGGGGTTTACTTACTGAAACTGAAATTAAAACGGGTGTGACTGGAGCAATTCCTTGGACTAGATAAGAAGTAATTCTTAATTTTTTTTTGCACCTCTTCTGTGTACTCTTGCTGCTGAAATGCTGATCTGAGATTTGAAGAAACTGTGCATTTTGTTCACATTTTTTTTTAGCAGGTTGGCTGGGAAATACCAGATGAATTTTTCCAGTTCTATGTCTTTGCTTCCTGTCTGGGATTGCCATTTATGAAATGCTTTGAAAAGAGCTGTAAATAAGATGGACACTACCGTATGCAAAACAGAAAGCAAATGTGTTTCTGTGTTTTGATAATCTGTTTTGTTTATGTACTTATTTTACAGAAGCCAAAGAAACCTCCTCCTCCAGTTAAAGGTCCAGGTACGTAAAATATGCCTGCTGATAGGTGTCTGAGGAAGTATTGAACTTCAGAAACAGTGCATGTCTTCAAAAAAATTAAATAAATTCAGAAGTAGCTTTGTATTTCCTAGTAATGCAGCTGCCCTTAGTTAGAGGTTACCTTTTTATGCCTTATGTATTTTGCTGCTGCTATATATTTTCCCAAATTACGATGGAGACTACTTCAGACATCTTAATACGAGCCTACAGTTTGCTGGGCTCAAATGAATGTTTATAAATGGCATTACACTCCTTGCAAAGGGAAAAAAAATACGAACACAAATTGGTGTGTATCATATTTTTAGATAGTGACTAAGATAATTAAAGCTCTTTCAGAAATACCTATGATTTGGTTTTACACACAGCTCCTAAACCTGAATTGCCAGCTGGAGAGAAGAAATTCCCTTTGAGGACTGAAGAAAAAGGTGAGACCCGTTTACTTTATAGTGAATTTCAGGATATATTCCTAAAAGTAAGGTAATAAGTTTTAGTTTATCTGCTCTGTGTAATAGGTAGCATGCTTAGGAACATGAAAGCTTCTGAAAACTTTGTGTGATAAAGAACAGTCCTTCTCTGTGGTAGAAGAAATGATGCAGGAAAACATTCTCTTGTATTCTGTTGAAGGCTAGGCTGAATAATTAATTATATGCGGTCTCTTCTGGCCTTAACAGTTATTTTTTTAGATAGCAGTAGCGTTTTACTAGAAAAAATGTCCGTCTATCAGTGCAGTGTTTCACTGGTGAAAAATAACCATATTGATAATAGCAATCAAACTGATTAAGTAAGAAGTTTTAATATAATTATTTTTTAATTCAATAATTGAGCAGCTCTAATCTAAACCTATCCAACCATATATTTTTAATGCATATTAATCTTGCCTTTAATTGTAATCAAAAATTGACTGATCAAATATTTCTGTATTTACAGTAAAGGGTGCTTTTTGGTATCATGTAGTAATTTTGTCCAATATCAATGGCTAAGACTGGTATTTTTATTACGATTACTAAGTACTTATCTTTAGTCAACCCTTATTTCATTGTATAATAAAAGACGAAAAAGTGGCATGCCATTTTTACAGCAAAATTGACTGATTTCTGTGCTCATAAGGAATCGTGGCTTTGAGTATTACCTTCATCCACTTAACTCTGGACAGTTTTTATATTCAGATTTGAGTTGGAGCAACTAAAGTGAAACCTGACTGATGATAATTCAGTAATATAATTCGATGGCAGCATTTTTTGTCCTTCTTATGAACTTGCATGTTCTTACAAGTAATAATGCATAATTCTTGAATTCTTTCTCCTCTAAAATGTAAAGAACTGATCTCCAGTAATACTGCCACTAGGCATTTAGGAATTTAAGCCTTTTATATAGGATCAGTAGACAGAAGTGAGCCTCACGAACAGGGTGTTTTACACAGGAGAGTCAGCACCACCAAGCGGCAAAATTATGTACTGTCCTGCTACTTCAGAGCTTTATTAATTTTGTAACACTGTACTGAGAGACAGCAAAGGACTGCCTAGTAACTGTACTAAGAGAGCCTGCCATAGTATTGGTTTTGTTTTGTTTGCATATCCTAATGTTCGAAGGTCTCAAATCAAGAATATGATTCTCTTTTGGATGATGCTTTTTTTGTTGAAACCTCTATGACCCGTTTTTCAGAGTATTCTTGGGAAAGAAAATCAGGATTTCTCCATTTTACTGTTGGGCATATGACACACAAGGATTGCAGAACTTTTCCAAAGGGAGTTAGTCGTATACAGGCAGTATTTAAAACAAAAGCCCTCTGACTTTTTAAGGGGAGATATGATTAATTCACAGTAAGGGCAAAGTAGTGGCAGTACAGAGAGATTCTTGTTTGTTAGGTGTTATTTGCAGTGCAATAATATCAATCTAGAATTTCTTTTACTCAGGTGGGCAGCTGAACTCCACCACAACTGCTCTCTCACTCCCCCTATCCTCAAAGAGGAAGAGGGAGAAAATATAAAAATAAGTGACTACTATTTAATGTCAATATATCCATTTTTCACTGTTCATCTGAACTTTAGAGAAAGTAGTTCTAACAGCAGTCACTTTCTAATTGATCAGCATTGAAAGAAACCTAGGCAATGTGTTTCTTAATGTTTTGGTGACTTACTTTGTCAGATGAAAAAGGAGCTTTGGATCAGAAGCCTTTGAAGCCACAAGCTCCTCAAGTACCACCCAAGAAGCCCATTCCTCCAAGCAAGACTAACAGCCTTTTGAGAGCAGGGTTTCAGCATCCAAAACGTCCAGAAAAACCTGCTTTGCCATCATCTACATCCAAGTCAGTATAAGTTTATATTATGTTATATACAATATATTATATATATTTAGTGTGGTTTGTTTTTCTGTCTTTCTTCACAACTGAGGTGGGAAAAGATGTATGTTTTAAAGGCAAAGAGGATATAAGGATAAGTTTGCACTGCACCTACCAGTTTATCTTTTCTCCAAGTGTTATCAATATGAACTTAAAACTTCCTAATTCTTTAAGATGCTGAATCCATCTTGGAGAAAATATTACAAGATAACCATAAAGCAGATCAATTTATGAATCTAGTCTGCTTTGCTTTAAACCTGCCCCCAAAATAAAGAAGTTAAAGTAGCAATATGGTATAAAAGAATCTCTGGATGTTGTACTTGAGAAAAATGTCATTGTGTTGGAAAAGATTTGAGTAGAGTCAAAGTCCAGTGTTTCAGAGTAAACTAGAAGAAGAGGAAGAGTTGAGCATAGTTAGTATCCATGCTGAAGGTACTCAGCATGGCTCATGTCCTCTTTCATGGGGAAGAAAACAGTGTAGAGACTGGAGGTGGTTCTTGGATCTGTCTCGAGTATTCTCAGTTGAGTTTACTGGACAAGTAGGGAACAGAATAGCAAGCAGTTGCTCACTCTTAGTTTCACTTCTCTAAATTTCTTTATCACAAGTGTGAAATTTTTTTAGCGTTTTACCAGCTTTGCATCAATACAATCCCTCCTTGTACCCAACCCCTGCTGCGGTTTCCCTCCTTTCTGCCTCCATCCAAGAATTTGCCAGATTCTTACCAACAACAGCAGATCCATGTTGACAAGTAACTGTCCCTTTGGGATATTCAGCTGACTTGAAAGAACCACGAGAAAGTGAGATCATGATGAACTTGGCCATCTACCAATAAAAGAGCAGACAGCTGCTACCTCAAAGAGCTTGCACCCTAAATACCTGCAAATACAGAGTGGCAACAAACATTCTTTGAGTTTTGTCTTTTCCCTCCAGCGAGTCCTGTATATCGTGAGCCAAAAGGAGTTAAAGGGAGAAAACAGGAGGGCAGTGAGGAAAGGTGCAGACTTTGGAGGGTTGACTCCAACAGCCATCTGCCAGAGGACAATCTAGGCAGCTATCTCTGGTCACACCCTGCACAGCCCTGGAAACTTTGGGTGCTTGACTGAAGGGTTAGACTGTTGCAGCTTTCATTCTGTGTAGGTTTCCAGTTTGTAATCATGTTTCATCACTTGACATTTTGGAATGTTTCCCAAGTAGAGATCTTCCCATCTTTAACCAAAACAGTGTTCCCCCTCCCTCATAGTTAAGGATATGAAGGGGATACATGTGTGCAGCTAAAAGAGACGCTGTAGTAAACTGTGGTCGTTTAATAATTGCAAACTTAAAAAATATAGAGGGTGTTTAAAATAGGTTAAAACGTCTGGAAGTTTAACATTGCTGTAGGGAGATTAGGCTGTTAGCGCTTTTCTGCTGTAATGGATTTTGAAAAAAGAATATGGGCGATGAGTTTATGAAAGGGACACATTGAAGCTGACAACTGGCCTGTCTACATACTGCGTTTTTTTTACAGTGACATAAATGATGGCACGAATTGTAAAGGAAAAGGTCAGCTCTTCATTTTTTTTGGTCCTTGGATGATGTGACTAGGCATGAAGGACGCATGGTAGAAGCATAGCCAGGCATACCAGACGTAAAAGACACTTTATTCTGTACCCAGAAAAAAATAACTAGTTCTTGATAGCTTTTTTTCTTTACAGAAAAAAAAAAAATGATTTGAAGGAATTTGACTATTTGCTTCTGAAATATTTCAGGAGAGATTACGGAAGGTGCTATTCAGCTATCTTGTTTTCTCTTGCAGTGAAGTGAGATATTTTAGGTTAAGTGCCAAAATAAGCTCTGTAGTAAATGCACTAAAAATTTTGGATGCTTTTCCAAGGGGATTGTACATGTCTGACAGCTCTACAAAAGCTGCAACAGAAGAGCTGACTTCTATAATACTAGAATTTCTCTCTGAAAAACTTTTAAGCAAGGATTTAAAAAACCGTAAAAGCTGTTTCTGGGGAGGTGTGTCTTTTTCCTTTTAATTCTTATTCTTGGTGTGTTTTGGTTTTTGGTAAACTATTTAATGTTACTATTCATTACTAGGTGTATTTTTGCACTTTTCTTGTTACAGATCTAATGGAGAAGTCGTTTCTCTTCGACCAAAATCTGAAATTGAGCCAGTAGCAAAACCAAAGTTAGACTCTGAACAGTTACCACTTAGACCAAAATCAGTAGAGGTAGATTCGCTTGTGGTAAAGAGCTCTCGAGAATCAGGTAAGAAAAGAACAAACAGTTTTTTTCTGGGTCTTTCTGTTTGGATTGCAGTATCTTACAGGGTTAGAATAAGGTCATCAATTTACACAAAATACCATGGAGTATAATTATGCCTGTTAGTAGAAAATCTTTTTTTTTTTTTTAAAGATTAGTTGTAAGATAGCTCAGGGTGAGAGTTAGCAAAGGGTGTGCAGGTGTCAGTAGGCTATTTGGAGGTGGTTAAGCTCACAGTTAATAACAGCTGATAGGAAGGAACATAGGTAATAGCTTGTTCTTCTAATTTGAAAGCATGTTTTTTGCTATCAATTTTATCTTGCGTTTTTATGAAATTGTTTTCCTTACCGACTGGTTCTGTTTGTTCTTCTGCTCTTGCATTTTAGATAACTTTTGCATTTTTAGCTAACTTGCCTATTTTCAGTAATGCCATTAACTTCAGCATTCTGTAATTAAATTCATAGCTACAATAGATTGCACCTTTACCATACCTTAAATTTGGGCCAGAGTAGTATATTCTATGTTTGAATTTCATATTTATGGCTTTGCGTAATGCACCTTGAACCAAATCTGGTATCTTTTTAAATCTGAATTTGTCTAGTTAAAACACTGATAGCAGATAGAGTACCAACGCTAATAATTCATGTAGCCTGATTGCAATATAGTTGTATTTTGTCCTTTTCTGACAGTACAACTGATTTCTCTCATCTGTGTCCATCTTGTGCAGAGTGTGTCTGCTGTGGACACTTTTTTTAAGCTCTGAATTGTTTTTATTGTGTGATTAAGCACTGCAGAAGAAGCTTTATTGTATTGTACCTGCAGTGTTTGGCTTGCATATTTCAACACAACCTTTATTCTCAAAAAAAAAAAAAAAAAATTATTAATAATACATTTGAAATTTTAGTGTAAGTTGATCTTCTAAGGACAACTACGATATACAGGATGTAGAATAGCTTGACCTAAATGATAATTAAGTTCACCCATGAAATAAATCATTCATCAAACAAATGAAGCAATTTATGAATAGGAAGGAGTTTTTCTGACTTGTTCATTAAGACTCATGGCATTTAAAATATGCTTCCAAGCTGAAGTGCCCTATGTGAGGAAATGCTAATTCAAGTATGCTTTCAATTGCTATGGGTTGAGCCCACATGATTAATAATTAATGATACATTAATTAAAACATATTTCATTAATTAAAAATAAAGTTATATATTTTCCTGAGCCACAGAAAGTTGGACTTCAGCAGGTATATCAGTATTACCATTGAATATTCCCGGAAGTATTTATAAGGGCCTTTGTTTTTTCACTAGTCAAACACATAAATGTTGTGCTATACCTTGTTTTAGAAGTTTTTAATTGGCAGTTCAATTACTGCCGCTGACACTCAAACATGGAGTTTGAGTGAGGGAAACACTTTCAGGCCACAGTAAGCTTTGAGATGAAAGATTGATGCCCCACCTAGCCTTAAAAACATAAACTTTGCCCTGTTGCTCAGAGGTTTAGCCCTAGGATTATGTTGGCTGTATTACCATGGTGCATAGTACCATTTATCCCCAGGAGAAAGCTCTGTGAAAAAAGATGGAATGTCTTTTTTCCCCAGGTGCAGTTATCTTGACACCTTTAATAACCAGCTTGGCAATGTAGTAGACATCGTACTAGGTATTCATATATATAAAAGCAACATTTTTTTACAGATTTAAAAAAAAAAAAAGGAATGGGGGCAAAACAAAACACAAAATTATTTGATCTTATTTGCTGACATAAGTTTTCACAAGCTCAAAGAGAAATTTTTAATATTTATATGCCTAGATAGAAGGGGGGAAAAAAAAACAGTATCCAGTGGCTGACAGGAAATAGCCTGTGATTTGCAGTCATCAGCATTGTGTTTCTAATAATCTGAGAAGTTTAAATCCAAAATGGGTTAATTCTAGATCTGGGATAAATTACAGTGAACATTCAAGGCTTTACTATCAGACTAGCTTTTGCGACATGTAACGAGGATGGAGGATGGAAACTTCCAAAATCCAGAGATGCTGGGCAGAGTTCACAGCATCAGTCCTGCGGCACCCTCTGTGCAGACTCTGATACTTTGGCAGGAGATCACTTGCAGAGCAGCAAATAACAGGGCCTGCTCGTACTGGTGAAGTTTATCTGAAGTAGTGATAATACCCTGCAATTTGTATGTTCTAGGAAAGACGTAGAAGATACGTTCGGTTTGCTTGAAGCAGATAGGTGAGGTCTGTTCCACTCCTTGGTTGGTGCAGAGCGAGCACAGGAGGTTTGGGCAGCCCACATGGGGATGCAGCACTGACAAAGTCAAGGAGCTGCTATTTGAGGAAAGTTTCAAAAGTAAAACCACCCTTGTTTAAAATGATCTGCTTAAGTTGATTTAGGTTTTATTGCTCTTGTGAAAAGGGACTTAAGCTCCCATCAGTAAAACGTGAGGAACCTCATGCTTTGTCTCTGCATCCACTCTGCTGCTAAAGGCATAATACTCAGTGCAGCAGCTAATGGCACACAAAGCTCTGAAGGTATTTGGGATATTAAATTTAAGACTTCTGGTTCTTGTAAGATTAAACAGACATTAAAATATGGGGGAAAACATATGGCTGGCACTGGCGCTTTTGGATATTGTTGAAGGTGTAGAAGTTACCAACAGACTTTCTTTTTCTTCTGAAATGGATGATTTTTTAGTAGACCAAGTTTTTTAAGTGCGCTTTTTTTTTCTTTTTCAGTTTATTTTGACAATTAAGTTTGTTCATCACTTCAAATTTAGGTTAAGGAGCAGCTGTAGATATTCTTTATATGTAAGAGAGGGAGGAAAATGTGGAAAAAAAAAGGCAATAAAAAGACACCAAATAACCTAGGTTCCAGCCATCAGATAGGGAAGGACAAATACTCTAAAATACTCAAACTTTGATCGTGTTTAAATTCCTTCTCTTGAAGCTTAATTTCAAAAATTGCATAAATGTTTCTTTGTTTTATTAGAATTAAAGTTCTGTAAACGACCTAAAGCTGTAATACTAGCATGCTGAACATTTAAAGCAATTCTGTTTCTTCTACAAATGTTTCTTTTTCCTGCTTTGTAAAATAATTTTTTTGTTCAGAATCTTTTTCTAGACATTCCTCTCCTTGACTTTTCTTTCCAGATTTTGTTTCCTATCCTGTTTGCCATGTTTCCCTTCTTACGTGTCAGGAAATTACCCTACCCTTCTCCATTTTGGTAAGATAACAATCTATAAGGCAATCCAAATGCTTTATGCCATACACCTAGCCTCTTCTTAACTTCATAAGCATAATTTTCAGTTGCAGTTATTTGGGTTTCAATTTAAAATGCTTTTTCGTTTATTTGAATGCTTGTTTTCCTTAGCTGTTAAACAAGAAGTTACTTCAAATATATTTTACAATGAGGAGTGTATGTACAGGTGAGGAAGGAACAAAAAAGACAAAAACAAAATACCCTTTTCTCAGTTTAACTTCTATCAGTCTACTGATGAGCCAAGCATAGTATTTATAGTATGATGTATTCAATATTTATAGCACTTAGATTTAGGTTGAATGTGTCTGTCTTTCTGTGCACACAAATTATGTTATTGTGATTTTTTTTGGCACTGAATTCTCTAGTGTTGGCTATTTATTATTATGAGTCTTGTAAAATAGCATTTATGAAAGTTACATATTGGGCAAATAAGTGCTTATTATAGCAAATAATTTATTATTGCTTGACTTTAAACGTCAATATTCTAAAGCTTATATCTTTCCCATAAGTTTTGGGGGTTCAATCTCTGGAGGATGAGTAATAGGAAAAAGGTCTACCAGCTTTTTCACTCTGCAGATTAACATGAGGTATTGTCTTCTGAAATACTGGGTACGTTTTGCTTTTACCATGGGTTTTTAAATCCCAGCAAGATGAGGTATATGAACCCCTTCAGCTTTGCTCCTTTTTGTGAAGGCTTTTTAAGAGAAACTGATACAAATACACTAAAACATTGACAATTTTTAACAAAGCCTCTCACCTAACTGTATCTCTTAAAGCACCTAACAATTCTGTAACGCGTTTATCCAGGTTAAGCTTGCAGAAAAAATGTTTCTAGTAGTCTTTCCTAAGTAATTGTTCCAGGTTAGCTTATCTTGCTCATGAAAAAGGTGTTCTAGCTCAGCCTTAAAATAATTTGTGGACTCAAATTATCTCCAGATGTATGGTATTGCTCTTCTGTCACAATGACGAGGTTGCCTGTAATGATTAATTGCAGACAGTCTTTAAGAAAATTAATTGATACATCACTTTGTTCACTGAAGTGGGTGTAAATTGTGAAATTGAGGTGTGTTTTATCAGTATCCATATTGGTTTCAGTGGGGCCAAGATTCCTCCTAAGATACTTAGGAAATTTGTTTCAAAAAATAATAATAAACACCCACTTCCACCCCTTATTTCTCTAATGTACTGGTAATATTTTAGGGCTGAGCTGTTGAGTGAGGTATACCAGTTTCTATTGTTAAGAAACTGGTAAGAAACTTGGCTTTTGTGTCGTCCCACTATCTATAATTTAAATTGTTTACTGCTACAGCCTTGAATATCTATATACTCAAGGTTTGTGAAGTTCTGGAGGTACACGTTATCCTTAAGATGTCAGTTACTGATACTTACTTTGCTCATGGAGACAGGGCTAGCATTGCAATTGTAATAGTAATTCATTTTAAAATTCTTATTTAAATTTGTTTGTTATTCCTGCAGAAGGAGGATCACAGAAATGCAAAAATTGTTGTGATGGTGGGGAAGAGGGGAGGAAATGTGTCTATATTTTTCCTGCCTTCTTGTTGCCTTTATATTAAATACCTAACCTACATACGTCAAAATCTGAATCAGGACTTCGGTTAGTGCTTTGAGCTTACTGAAGATTGAGTAAAAAACATTAATATACACTCCTAGATCACTGCTGCATGATTTCTAACAAGCTAAATGCTTTATTGGCCAAGACTGTAAGATAAATACCTTAATAGCCATTTCTCCATCATCCTCTCTTCCGTCACCCCTCGCCATTCATCACTCTTCTGTTTCTTCCTACTTTGTTCTTCCCTGTTTTTTGTTAAATTGTAAATATAGTTACATATTTACAAAAGACCACCTTTACATTTTCTTTAATAAAATTGAAAAGCAGCAAAACTGATTGGTAACTGATAAAGTTGCAAATTCTTGTATTTCAAGACGGCAATAGATAATGAAGTACGCAAGTCCAGATAGGTTTGAGAGATGTGAATGTTTTAAGGGCTTAAAAGACAGTAATGTATAGTAGTAGACATTAAAACTAGTTAAAACTTTCAGTAGAAAGCTTCTACTGAATTTATTTCTATAGGTATAAATTAGCTTTGACAATGAATGAATAAAACTTGAATTAATCAGATGATTTTAATTCATGTTAACTTTGAAGTGGTATGAAAGCTGTGGCCGAGTATTTCTATGGCTTTTTCCTGTACTGACCTCTTGCTGTAGTGTCAAAATGAGTGAGAAAGTAGGGGAAGAAGTGTTAAGGTTTCTGCTTGAAATGATGCAATGTAAAACTAAGAGGTTGCAAAACAAACAAACAAAACCAACTAACCCCCCCCCCCCGCCCAAGTTTGAATGTTACTTCTGGTATCCATAGTAATGCTTTCTGGCATTTTAGTTAAACATTTAGTCTGAAGAACAAGTTAATGATTTTGTGTTGTAAAACCATATGTAATATCTGTAATTTATGTCACTGCTTTAATAATAAAAATAGATAAATTTTATTGTATAGCTGTTAGTAGGTAAGTATTGGTTTTATTTTTTTTTGTGGTAAGAAACCCAGTTGTTAACTAGATGAATTACTTATGTTCTGCTCTACACATTAATAGATTTTTCATAAGGTTGTATCTTCCCATAGGGTGTAAAGAACTTCTTCTGATCAGGGGTCATAAGGAGGAAATAGATTGTGGAATAAAGCAAGACTTCATCTAAGAGAGTTAACCTAGACTAGAGTTAAGAGTGTAAAGAGAATAATCAGCAGAGAGATCTGTGTGCCTTAAGAAAGTATACAAATAGGGTTCTAAATTCTAAAATATTTTATTATAGACTTGATGGAGTCGTGTATTTTCTGCAGACAAAAAATATTGCATATGAAAAACTGCACTGTACAAAACTATTTGCAGTTAATGTCTTGTTAACATACATAAACCTCTGGACGCACTTTACCATATTTATTTTCCTCTCAGTTGCTAAACTCGGATTTTGATGTTTTTCATGAGTTGGGCAGTTAAAAAAAAAAAAAAAAAGCCATTTTCAACTCAAAATTGGTTTTTAAGTCCTCTCAGAAAACAGTTTAAGCTGCATTTTTTCTCCAAATACACTAGGTCTCTTTTATGCTGCCATGTTGACACTACTTATGTTGAGAACTTGAATTCAAGTGGTAGTTGAATCAACTCTTATTTTTTTCAAGGGGGAACATGTGACTTCTCAGACAGGTCAAAGTCATGTAGTTTTACATGGCTTGTTGTTGTATATGCTGAAAAATCTTTGAAATGATAAGAATCTCAAAAATTATTACTTTTATTTTTTCTCCATTTTATAAAAAAAAAAAAAATGACAAAAAGGAGCATAGTAAAACTCCTAGTCTTGATGGTGGTCTGTGTTTTCATCTTTCTCTAGATCTATTAAGCTTTGATGACGTAATAGCTACCTCAGATAATCTATCTCACCCTACTGCAAGTCGACCCAAGATGCCTGGTAGGAGGCTGCCTGCACGTTTCAGTGGTTGTATTTCTGTGAGTATATCGGTGCATTTTTTCCAGATGTGAACTAAGAACTAAATTCCCAGGAAATAGAGTTACACTCATAAGCAGTCATATGAGCCATTTATCAGAGAGTGAAATGCAAAACTGCTCAGAGGTTGTTTGTATAGATTGTCTATAGGGATATCTGTTTGCAAGTAGAAGAAAGTGTACGTAAGAAAAACAACACAACTGTATTGCACCTGAGGGAGTCTTCCTGTTCTGTGGGGTATTACTGTGATAAATCCCCTAATCTTTCAGTAGCACCAATGATATACTAATGGTTTGTAGTCTTTCACTTCAACAAAGTTGTAATTTAATGTTATGTTGGAAAAGTGATCATATGTGCCAAGGCACGAGGCAGAACGAGGTAGTGTAGAATCCTTGTTTATTTTACATATAAATATATATATTATATATATATAAATCATGTGTTTTATAGTTTGGTCATGTCAATTACTATAGACTGTTAACTGCCTTGTCTTTGTATTATGGAGGTACCTAAAGGTTCCCAAAAGCATCAAGTATTTGTTCTATTAAGTACGGTAGAGATAATGGCAAATCCTGTCTAAACTTACTATCTGATTTAAATTCAGATAAATTAAAACTGTAGGGTAGGAAAGTTCTGAGTAGCAAGGAAAAAACCCATAGTAGTCTAGCAGTTCAAGCTTTTATCTATCACATTTTTAGAAATACATAACTCTTTTCTTCCTTGTTCTGAAAACCTTTTTTGTTTTTGGTATTTTTTAATTGTTTATTTACCAGTCAAGTGAAATCGACAGTGCAGAAAAAAAACTGAAGGTGCAGAAGGAAGAAGAAGAAAGTGCCAAACCAAAGCCAGTTGAAACAAAAAAGGTATGTCACCAAGGATCTAGGTACCAGGCATCTAGTTCTCTGTTCATCTTGCTTGTATTTCCAGTTTAGATTGATGCAACCATCTAAATACAGCTGATTGTATTTAAATGCGAGCGAGCCATGTCATTTGGTATAGAGTTCATATTAGAATTTGTAATATAAAGTTAATTTATACCTCAGTATAAAGTTTTGTTTTTCAGTTCTGATAATCAGGTAGCATGAAACTATGGTATTGTTTCTCACATAAGTTTCATGTCTGATTTTTAATCTTCTGACATGTAAAGCAAACAAGCAGATCAGAAGACCACATGGTTTTTGTGTTTTTTTTTTTTTTAAGTGTAGAGAACTGCAGTGTGTTTTGTTTAATGGCTACAGGAAGTTCAGTGCAATGCTAAATAAACAGCTTTTAAAATAACTGTGTATTACATACGACGATAGTCCATTTGAACTGGGCATTCCTTTTAATCTTTAGGGTAGAAAATAATGGAAAGTTGTATATGTACAGCTAATTGTTAATAGCTAAAAAGTATATACAAGAAGATACTATACTAGTACAACTTATATACTGTAAGTGGTTAGTTCATAAAGATTGTACTTCTTAGCCTTCTACTGACTTATTTTTTCAGCCATCTGTGTTGAGTCCACCAATTCCATCTTCATCTCAGAGACCAAGTTCTGCTATACTCAACTTTTTTCCGGTAGAAGTCCAACCTAAAGGAGAAACAGAGAATACGCAAATACAAACACCTGTGGAAGAGCTCAGGACTCAGATTCATGATTTGATGAGTTTAGTAGACACACTGAAAAAAGAACATGGGTAAATATTTTTCTTCTCAATCTGCAAATAGTTATACACTAACATCTTTAATGACAAAGATAAAGTGTATTAATACTAATGTTCAGAACTTATTCCTTCAGAAGTTGATCCAGCTAAATGACCTAAATATATACCAATTTGATGTCAGAGTATTTTTGGAATTTGTAAACACTTTCTATTCTACCTTGTGCTCCTTCATTCATAACTGCTTTTTGAAAATATTTCTTAAGCAGTCGGTACTATCACTGTAAGGAAAATTAGATAATTCTCGTGGTGTTTAGTGTAAGTACATGTGCTAACATTGTGTAATAATTGCAGCACTGACGTGACTGGTAGGAGGGAAAAGATTATTGAGCCTTTTAAATTCAGTCATGATGGCCCCATCATGTGTGCATGTGGGCAGGGTTGTGTTTGGCAGATGATGTAAAAGAAAATTGGTCTTTACTGTGTTTAGGCAAATACAAATCTGCAGAAATTGTATTTTTCTCTCTTTAGTTGGAGAACACAGGCATTCATTCTTGTCCTATCAGAATGATGAGTACTAACTAAACCAGTTGAGAGGCTGTAAAGCATCTGGATCAGTTGGCTTCCAAAGTAAACTAGTAAATTATGAGTTCAGCAGATTAATGAATTACTTTTTCAGTGATGTGATGATCATTCTTAATATTTTCTTATCTGACTCCAGTTATGAAGTAAAACAGAACAGGAAATTCCTATTCTTTAGAATACTCCTATTTTTTAGAATATGTAGAAGTTGACAGGTTACTTTAAGTTACTTTAAATTTCTCTCTCCAAGTAGGGGATAACTGTAAAAACATTTCTTAACTACACTACTAAAAATTGCGATTAAAAGTTAGGGATAGTTGCATGGTGAGAGGCGTTGAGAGTTGTTGGAAGCTTCTGGTCCAGTCCACTAGTGGGCCTGTAATTTTATGTTTTATTTATAAGGTATAGTATCAGATTTACGTTCGTCCCTCTTGTAAAATTTTAAGAAGGCCTATGCTTACTGTTCTCAGTAATATTTTCTTCTCTAACTTGGATTTCTGCTATCTTAAAAACTGTCAGGAGAGAACTGGAAAAAATAAGGAAGGATTTGGAAGAAGAAAAGCTGAAGCGAAGTATTCTGGAGGTAATATTCATAACTTAAAAGGAGAAAAAAATTAGAAGCACATATAGAGTGTTCAAGAACTTGATGCTGAAGGAAAGTCTTAATGGACATGCTCAATCTTTTGTGTACTGCTTTCCTATTGTGTAGTTGAATGAATGCCTCATAAGGCAAGTATTAAGAACATTCACAGTTCATCTTAGTTCAGTTTTGCTTACCTGCGATGCAAAATAATTATTTTTAGTTATATGTGTGTTGGGATGTCAGTCTAGTGTTGTTAGATTCTGTATTGTACCAGAAATATGTCACAACTGGATTTACTCCAAGAGAGATGATGAATAGTTTGCTTTTGTGGATTTTAAAGGACAAATTTAGTTTTTGTAATCAAAAGAAAAATAGGAAGAAAGTCATCTTTCTTTAATTCTCTATTACTTGTCTAAATAGAGTCAAAAAGAATAGAGCGCATCTGAAGAATTCCCCTTCATGATGAATGCCAGCCCCTTAGTTTCTTCATGAAGGCTGCCTGCATTATTGTATAATGCTGTTAAGTGGTTAATAAGTTGAACTCATTATAGAAAACTATTCCAGTTGGATACAAAAGTGCATTATATTTGTTAAAAAGTACTTTTTACTGACTTTAAAGCTGCTTTAAAAACTTGAGAAGAACTGGCAAGTTCTCTTTTTAAGGCATCTCTAAAGCAATCTATGAAGTTGCCTGGAATATGTGCTGGGAATGAAAAGGTACCAACTTCCTAGTATCTTCTAAATTCATTTGAAGAAATAAAGATTAACCATGTCATCATATTTTGCATGAAGGCTGCCTCAGGAAGTCAGTCTGAGATGATGCATTGTTATGCAGAGACTTGTTAAACAATTTCTCAACTCAGTTTTGTTAAATGACTATTCAGAGTGAGATTATCCAATAAATTCTTGTTTGTTAAGCAACATAATATAAAATCAGCTGTAAATATTAAGCTGTCAAATGCTTCCATTTTGTTTGCTTAAACATTTGAGATTTCAAGGTTGTTATTTTGGTGAAAGCTCTGGAAACTTTAGGTTATTGCTACTCTACTGACTTTTCAAAATATCTGTTTTCCAGGCTGAAATAGAAAAATTGAAGAAATCAGTGATGTCTACATGAGACACCCATGGACTTGCTATCTTTAACTTGCCAGGAATTCAAGCTGAACACAAGCAGAACTGACTCTTATTTTGTAATAATGGATGCTGGTGTTCTACAGTCTTAAAGAAAAATATAGTAAAGAGGAATATAGTCTTTTATTCAGAGATAAGAAAACAAAAGAGAATAATGGTGTAATTTTTTTGCCAATATAAAAGAGGCCTTATTTCTTACTGTGCTGGAATTGCAGACCTTTATTTTTTGGTTTGCTTGAAAATACTACTGAATCTGTATAAAAAGGAGAGGGAATTCTTAATAGATTTTTATTGAATACCTGTAGCTTAATTTTTAAAGAGATCTATACTATAAATAGGGTGATCTATCTTTACAAGTAATCTGTAAAATAATCTATTGGGAGGGACGGAATAGCTGTATCGTAATTGTAGTCACTATTTTTCCCCTACATGCAAAAAGGGAATATTTGTATATTTTTTAATTTTGGCAGTCTTACCCAGGGTTATGCTGTTGTGCCTGTCTGCAGTGAGAATATTAATAATATGCTGTTTATAAGTTGAGCAATGAGATAGGAATTTGTTAATGCAATGAATCGGATGACACACCTATGCATTGTAGTAAGAACGGATGACCTAATCAGAGTAGTTTAGCAGAACATTTTGTCACTTGCACTATTGGATTAAAAAGGGATTTAGGACTGCATCACAAAGTTACAACAAAAGTAACTTTTAATACTACAAAATGCAAGAAATACAGAAACAAGGCTAGAATCCAGTCTTAACAGAACCTGTTGTGCCTAAAATACTACAGCACACAATGTGAAAAAGTAAACCTTAACTCACAATGTCTGTGCTTGTGTGTATCTAAACTGAAGTCATCAGTCTTTCTAGCGGTTAAGTATGCATTTTGATCTGTTATTACAGTAGTCAGTTTTTGTTTATAATATGGCTCAAAATAAATCACTTTGGAACTTTACTACTCTCAAAATGTCTCAATATTTATATATTTATGCCATAAACCTTCTCAGTGTATTGTGTACTTCTAAATTTAATTACATCTTTGTATTTAACGAGTGATTGGAACGATTGCTTTGACAGCACTGTGCTGGCATCCAAGACAGCATCTTTCACTTTTTTTTTTAATAGAAAATGGTTGAAATCTTGTGGACTGCCATTATCTTTAACCCCTGAGCTCAACACTGTGCACCAGAATAATATACAGATAATATTCAAAGTTGTGGGAGACAATTATATGTATTGCTCTATTCACTTGATAAAAAATGAAAAACAATTTTAAAAAGCCAATCAAATGTGTTACTTCTGTTAGTAACAATCTTATCTCCTTTTGGTCTACTGAAATTTAAATGACAAAAGCATACCATATTAGTAGACAACTTAACCAATAAGAGAAATAATTAAGTTTCTATTCATGGGAATAGCCATAAATACAGTAATTATTTACTATGTCACTTGAGCAAGAGATACGGAAGTGAGATATATTCTTGAGAATATGCTTTCTCAACAGTTGATGCATCATAAAAAAAACAAACATCAAAAATTCAATTGGATTCTGTTTCTTGGTTGCTGATCAAATTTTCTGTAAAATTTGATTAATATACTATGCAGGTATTAGGTAATATTTTCTAGTCATATCGCTAATAAGCTGATTTGATATTAATGCTTTTAACTTTTAATTGCCTAGATGCATCACAAATGAAGACTTGAGCCAGATCTTTATATTGAGGAGTAATGTGCAGTAGTGCTTCTTGTCAGACACTAAGCTCGTACTTAGAATTCATACCTCTAAGTCAGATGATGAAGAGCAAGAGTTGAGCCTAATGGAATAGCAAATTTTATTATACAAGCTCTTCATCATGATTAGAGCATGAAACAAACCTTGTAATGGATTGCTCTACAGAAATAGTCTGCATATAAGCTTGTAGCAGACAAACAACAAGACAATCAGTTAAAACCACAAATGAAAGGTGTTAATTATTTAATGGCCTTTGTTCGCTATAGCAATAAATGACCCAAGTGCAATGACTTGATTTAATAAAACCCTATTTTAAAAGTCGCTGCTATGAGTGTTTTTAGCCATAAAGAAGTTGCCCTAATAAATGTCTGTCTTGTCTTCAGCTAGTGTTACATACTAGAGTGGATGAGAAGAGAGTAATGGTTTTGAAGACATTCCATAGTACAAGTTCCTAAAAGCAGTATGCTTCTCTGACTTGTTTACTGGTGCTGTAAAATGATGCATGCTATCCAAACTCAGTAAATAAAATAATTTAAAACTGTTGAAATGTCTTCTGGGTTATGTTCAGAAATGTTGTATATGCCATAAAAAAAAAAAAAGCACAAACAAAACAAACAAACAAAAAAAAACACTTTGCAGGAGGAGATTGGGTGAAAAACAAATGTATTATTCATATAGCTCACCACTGGAGACTTTCATCTTTCATATTTGAATTTACTCAGTAGGATACTCTGGTTCCTGACTTACAGGGTAGTTATCCCAACAGCTGAAAATCTTACTGCTGGTGTTTTGTTTTTTTTTTAATTGTGACTGGAAGCCTCAACTTTTTTAGTAACTCTTGTTCCTTTCTTTTTTCATTTTTTTTTTTGTTGGTCCAAATTGACCTTTCTGTGTATCTTAAGTTTATTTTAAAGATCCTGATGCCGCCCAGTAATATGTGTGCTTGAATCACTCTTAAATACATAGTGAAGAACTGAAGACTGAGATTACAACATTTAAAAAGGGTATGGATGAAGGAAAAAGGCAAATGAAGAACAGAACAACAGAAGAGCATTTTAAAAATGCAATATTTTATTCAATTTTCATATTCTCCAGAAAGCTTTTGTCTGCATACAAAGTACAGTTTTGGAAAAATAAAACTTACACATCTCTTCATCTCTCTCAGCTCTTTCAGACAGAAATGATGAAAACAGGTTTTTGTAGCTGCCTTGTCTGTTACTGAAATTCTTTAAGACGTTCCTGATTGCTTTCTCAGAGCAGTGTCAAAACAGCTGCTCATCTATCTTGGGAAATTGGATTTTGCAAGAGCCGAAAAGACAAACCACTCCCTTTGGGATGCCCAGGGACTATACCTCCCATCTTGAAAATCCAAACAGCCTGAACCAACTTGTGAAGCACGAGACTGATGCTGCTCATTCAACGTCTGGAGCAGTTATCCTGGTTATGGGAAGTCATGATCTGAGTGTCTTTCTAAGCCCCAAGGAGCACAGATCTACACCTCTTTGTTTCTGAGAGAAGTGTGTGTGTATCTGTGCTGAAATGTCCTCTGAAGGATACGAAGGCTGACAGTTGTTTAGGTTAGGGGGGGGGTTGAGAATGGAGGAGGGGAGGTATTCATTTGTCATCACAGCAAATGTTCTGTGTGTGCGTAGAACAACAACTCCATGTACTAATAAAAATGGTCTTTTAAAATTTCTGTCCATACTTTGGCATGATCTGGTATTCACCCCTTTATTCACGTGAGCTAAGGAGCCACTTTTAATTCTTCTCTACCTGGTACTGTATTGAATGCAAATCATTTAACCTCCCCAGGTCGGTGATGTTGGCTGTTTAATTGTGCTTGGCTTAATTCCCGCTTGATACCGATGTGAGATGCGATGCTGTCTGTATCAAAACAGCACGGTAAATCATGCGTACCTCTGGGCTAAAATGAGATCTGTCTTGTGGCTGATGATTGGCTTAAGTTGTGGTTGCAAACAAAATGACTTGGAAACCCTATAAATTCAAAACAAACATATTACAGGATTGTAGAACTTTTTCTTTGATCAAAGTTCATCTGAAACAGTCTTGTGGATAGAGCAGTGGGAATTGGTCTTCTGTTATGAGAAACTGCATGCTGTATGTTACTGGCTCCTGCAATCCTCAGAAAAGCAGGAATGATGGTGAGCCAACGTTAAAAAAACTGACATTGAACACGGCACAAGCTTCAGCAGGCAACTGTAGCCCCTTTTCTGTGCAGTCCATAAGGAAAATATCACTTGGTCACAGAGCTTTTTAGCTGCAGAGGGTATTATCAGTAGTGTCATTTTTGATTTATGAAGCATGATGCGTTAACTTGACTAAGTTTTGATTGTAAATTCTTTTCGTCTTTGAAGACTGAAGATCTGAAGACCTGTTAAATACAGCAGAGCAGACGGTGCCTCCTCCACGAGGGTGGAAGGTGCAAACCACACGGGCATGACTCACTCGTGAGGATTCCCGACCAAGGTGGCAATCCAGCAGTTTTGTGGGCGTGTTTGCAACTTGTTTTGGCATTTTTCAGTGCAATGCCTTTATCATCATCTGCAGGTTCCTCGCTGTTGATCCAGTCAGACAAGAAAAAAAGGCAGGCTGATGCCAAAGGTTATTTCCTCATGGGAAAACTGAATGAATCAGAGCACAGAAGCAAGGCTGGGTAAGACCATAATAGCGAGACTGGGGCAAGATGGCAGCAGATGAGTGGTTGGATGCTAACCCGTCATATCTGGAGGATCTTTGGCTCTGTTAATTTTGCTTACAGTTTAACCCAGACTTCCGAAAACAGTGAGTACCATCACGAAACATTTTTGCCAGGACTGTTTGAAAATTATCAGTGAGGGAACTGAAGTCATCTGTGAAATCAGATGACTAAACTAAATCTAACTGCTTTAAGCTATTTTTACTTTGTGCTTGTTTGCTCAGTTTTATACTTGCTCTTTATGTCTGTGGAAGTAATTAGACATCTTAATTAACCTCTGCTTTTTGCTTGGAGTTTTGTAATTGGTCTCCAGTCACAATGTTGTCAGTTCTCAGAAAAATTCAGATTTTCGTAGGAAGTTATTGTAAAGATCCCTCTCCTTGTGCAGCTTGCTTTACTTATATTCACCTTTTCTGTAACCTTTAAAAAAGTAATTAATACCAATCAATTAAGCCTTTGTATAAATAAGGGCCTTAATTTTTTTCCTGAAATGATCACGTTGAGGACTCTTGCTGTAGCCTTTTTATCTTACTGTGTAGCAGTTAGCTGTATGAGTGATCATATGGTTGTTTGTGAACTGCTTGGATTTTAAGCTAAACATGTAGGCATTCAAGCCCTAAATAAATAATTCAGTTCCATAACTAAGGATTTTTTTTCTTCTTCAGATACTACATACACGTAACACAAGTTTGCAGTGAAAGTTTGGGGGAATAAAATTGTGTATGCTGAATAGAAAAGCCCAATGTAAACTTTCTTTTTGCACAATATGTGCTTAGAATTTCTGTGCTGGATACCTATTCCTATAAAGGAATGGGTATCTCTTTCTAGTTCTGCTTCTGGGGTAGCAGAGGGGGGAAAGCTGTAACCTAAGGTGATGGAAAACCCTTTGGCCAGAAACCTTGGATCCACCAGTTTGAGGGTGTAGTTCCCACTGTTGTTGCTTCTTGGGTGCTTTTGTAGCTGTGCTTGTGCAAGGTCAGACTGCCTTGCAATAAGTCCTTGGACACAGAGTAAGGATGGAAAGTTTTGTAGGGCTCTGTAGAACTCTTCCATTGTAAAGTAGCAGAAATCAGAGATAAGGACTTCATAAACTGGTTACCTTAAATTTGAATTGCTCCTTAAATAGATTATCAGATTATCAATTTACCTTTTTTTTTTTTTTTTTTTTTTACTTTTACTATTTTAAGAGTTTTTTCCTCTCCTTTAACCATTGTCCAGTCATTCATTCCTCGCTCCTCTTTTCCTTCTGCTGGGACCTTTGCCCTCCTGGGGTGCTATGACCAAATGAAATTAGTTGGAGGAGGAGGTGCAACATCTGGTGACCATCTCCTGAGCTGGGCAGGAGACACCTGCAAGTCTATATACTTTTAATATTAGCTTCTATAAAAGTGTATCCATATTCTTTCCCAAAATCGACTGACTTCTTGCTGTATTACTTGCTTTAAATTTCTCTTGCTGCGTAGTAGTAACCGTGGCATGTTCTTGCAGTGCTGAGGCTGGGTAGTTTCCATGATGAGTCAAGCAATGCGACTGAACGAGATCTGTGTTTCACCGGTAACACGGCTCATTATCTCGATGAGCCTCAGATACCTGGAGCTGTCCCAGGCTGTTACCTCACCTAGAGGTAACAGCCCTAGGTGGAGTTACATCAGTGGATAAATACAAAGTGGATATGAATTAATAATGGAACATGACGAGGTCAAGGATTCCCAAATGTGAAATGGAATTCAGGCTAAGAGCATACAATGAATATCATTTAATGACTGCAGAAATTGGAAAAGAAGTTGGTACAATCCTTTACCTAATATCTTTAGGTGCTTCCTGGTCATCTCCTGTTCCTCAGCAGTGTTGACCCGAGTCTTGTCATTCACTTTTTTTTATCAGTTTTGGTCCGTAGAAGGGCTAACAGTTGCTAGTGTTAAACCTAACTTTAAAACTGTTCAATATATATTTCAACGTCCTATGATGTTGATGATAAAGGCTGGGTGCTCTGGCAGGGCTGGCTGCCACCTCTGGACAGTTTGCCATGTGCTGAATCAAAGGTAGTGCCTGCTGAAGGCAGCATCTGCTCTCAGCTCTTATAATTGAGTATCTGAGCCCCAAGAGCCCAAGTTGTCCATCTCACATGGCAATTCTCATCAGGGACTGCCTGAGGAGAGTAGCAAAAGTTAAACCTTGTGGAGATGAGGTTGTGTGAAATCGCTTCATAAGGCACCCACAGACTGAAATGCTTTAAGCTCTTCACCTTGCAGTTTACAGTAAATTATTAATGCAGTGACTTCTAATATTGAGCAGGTTGTTTGTTTCATTTAAAAGTGCAAAAATCATTTTCAGTAAAAAGTTGATAAATGTCTGAAAATCGCTTTGCATGCCCAGTGAGGACAGTGTTTGGAATGGGTTTAGCTGCTCACTTACTAGCAACTGGACAATGTTCAAGAAGAGAAAACAGATGATGTCATCTTCAACATGTTTTTCTTTCAGGAGAAAGGCAGTAAATGCGTGGCGATGGATGCGAGGGTGGCCCACTGCCTGCTCCTTTGGGCTATGCACTTCTTCCCGGTTGCACCACGCATTGCTCCCAGGGTGAGTTGGTGAGCAAAGCTGAACCTTGCGTCCCTGAGAGGCCGTGGACTCCAGAGTTTTCTGGCACAGAAGCCAGCAACATTTGATTTTAATGGGTTTGGGGAACTGCCAGTTCACTCGAGTTCATTCAGAATTCAGTTTTACCTACTAGTGAAAGGAAAAGGTCTCTTCTTTCATATCAGGACTGCTACAAGCTCATATTTATCTCGGAATCACAGAATTGTCTAGGTTGGAAGAGACGTCAAGATCATCGAGTCCAACCTCTGACCTAACAAAGGTTATCTTATTTATCACCAGAATTCCCATGGATCTACTAGGCACTCTGGATAATGCATCCAGAATTGTTCTGGTCTGGTTGTACTGTGCTTATTCAAAGTAGATCCGAGCCAGAGAGATACAAATCTCTTCCAAGGATTTATGATGGAAACATGAAATATGTTCGTCTCCACTTTTTTTCCTTTTTTTTTTTTTTATGGCTTTTTCTTTCCGTACAGCCACTTGTAGGCAATGAATATGGTTGTTGCTTTGGGACCTCAAAGCATGAGATGACAAGAGATGCCTTTCCCTGAGGACTAGAGGCTGCAAGGTCTTGCAGAGCTCTCTTGGTAAAAGTTCCTCACTGGCTTTCAGGGTTGCAAGGAAGAGGTGCCTGCAGTGAGAGAATTAGTCAAATCAGTAGGTCTGGGAGGAAAACTTTACACTATTCAATACACTCAATGTGCCAAGCAGCCCCCTGCACAACTCTGAGACTGTTAGAAAGCTGCTATTCAGCCTACTCGACCCAGCAATAGCAGTGTGATTTCTAATGCATTGCCAGCCAAGCTTTGTTTCCAGAGTTTGACTGATGGCAGATAAGCCATTTGACCAAGTGAAAGCCATGTGTGAGCAGTTGCTCTGGACTGAGTCTGCCTGTACAACACGCAGTCCCAGCAAGCGTCCTTCAGCTGAGCATGGCACATCTGCCTCGGTGTTGCTCTTCAGTCAGGACTGGAACAAAGAGGCTTTGTTGGTGGTGTTCTGTACAGCTGTAGCTGCGTCTCATGGCAAAAATCACACAGATCCTTGTACATCAGTGTGAGAATACTGGAGACCTTAAGACTAATATGGGCTTTTTGACTCAGAGATAACTACTGGAGGCATGTATGATCCTGTCCCCTAGCTCAATATTGTCACTTTAGTAGTACAACTGTGAAGGCTTCACATAGAGACAAAACATTAGTAGAAAGTTCTGAATTGTTCTGTATGGGCCATAAACATTCTATTTTGTACCTTAAAAAGTCTTCTGCACCTCAGAAGGACTATTTTGCCCTTGAAGTCACCTTTCTAGTTTGTTCCAGGTAGTCATCTTTTATTTATTTTCACAGTCAATATACATTCCACTTTACCTTATTTTTCAGGTCCTCAGCAAGGAATCAAAGACTGGTAATCTGCAAGGTACAGTGAATAGCTACATGTCTTCTAATTTTTTTTTTGAAATGTTATCCATTATCAGTATTTATACCCCCAAATACTCACCTCATGTATTGTACTATGCTGTCTTGCACATTAGAACAGTATTTACTCGATTTGTTTTCCAGATGGGTGTATAAATCTGATTCCCTGTGAACATAGTGGAGCTATTTGTATTCAGCCTTGTTCTCCCTCCTTCCATGGAGAGATGAGTTTTGTCTGCAAAGACAGAAAGTGGCAAATGTTCATAGATGCCTGTGCAAATCTGGATGTTCAGTCACTTTTTCAGGTAATGCAACCATTATGCATATACTTTCCCTATGGTCATAATTTGTTGGGAAGACACATTCCCCTCCCACCCTAACTTTAAATTTTGAGCAAAGGGAAGAAAATGGAATCCTAGAAACCAAATTACTGTGCAGCTTTGACTTCATCTTAAATTAAGTAATTGGAATTTCCCAAATTCACTTCCTATGTTGAAACAGTTCAGAAATGAACTTGTCTTCTTCACTTGGTTAATGTTTTTCACACAGATCTAAACCAAGACAACGATACTCTAGGATGAACCTGAGAGAACAGCTGTACAAAAGCTCTTTTAAACTCTAATTACTACAAAGGTCTGTAATAATTAGATGATTTGTAGTAAATTCTTCCCCAACTACAAAATAAAAAACTGTTTTTTTTTCCAAGTCACTTGAAGAGTAAGGCAATATATTCAGTTCTTGCTTCCCCCTCCAAATGTGTTGTGCAAGCAAGAAATTTTTCTCAGTGAAGCCTTGGTTCTGGGTTTCAGGCCTTCCAGCATGTTAATTACACACCCCAGCACTGGACAATTTTGCAGGTTGTAGCAGTAGCATCATTTTGATTCTGTTTGTTAATTCTGCAAAATTTATTTTTCTCTCTCCAGAGGATTTCTGAACGTGAACCTCTTCCAAGTTCTGGAGGCCACATTGGTGTTGCTGGAGGACACCTGCCCTTTGTAGGAGCAGGAAGGCCAGTGCACGGGAAGCCAGAAAATGAAGCAAAACATTTTGGTGCTGATGACCATGGGAATAGTAACTGCCAAGCTGATTTTTCATGCATCATCCCAGATATCCTGTCCTCACCAGCAATTCCAGGAAACATTGCTGATATAGTGGAATTGCTAAAGAATATCTCCCTGATGTTGTCAGAAAACGTCAATAGAGAAAAAATGCAGGTATTTATTTCTATGGGCTTGAAGAGTTGGATCTGAGCTTGCCAGAGCAGCCGTGCAGTTTCTTGCTTTGCCAGGGACTCTCCAGTGAAGTGGTAGCTGCAAGTCACACAGATCACCTGGAACGAGTTCCCAAAGTGGGGGGTGTTGTGCTGTCAGAGAAACTGTTTGACCTATTCACGTATGGCAGAAATCCTGCAGTTCCCATTGGTGGAATTTGTTTCCTTTAAAAGCAAATGTTTGCAGCATTTATAGACTTGGGAGAACACTACAAGGAAGACTTCATTTTTAAAGTATTACATGGCAGAAAAGGCAGTGTTGGATATGCTGATCACAATTGTGTTTTCACATGTCGCATGATAAAAACTGAAATTGTTCCCTGATGAACTCAGAAATCAGAGAGGTGGAGGAAGAATTGTGCAGAGGGAGATGTAAACAGAGGGTGCACATTGCAGGTCAAAGTCTGAAACAGAACTGGTGTCATATTTATTTTTATTTTTTTTTTAATTTATACTGTTCTTCCCAGTACCTTTTGAGCTTTGATGTGAAGAGGACAGTACAATTCTGTTGGTGACTCATGCCAGTGAGATGTTTGGGTTTGACTGAGATGGGTCATGTGAACCTGTTTATTGACAAAGAAGTATATTGACTTTATAGAAACTAACCTTGAGTTTAAATTAGCTTTTTTTTTTTTTTTTTCTTGGAGACTGATTTATTTTAACATAAAAAATAACTTATTTTTCTTCTTTGTTTCAGAGTTACAGCAGGATAGCAAACCATATTCTGAACAGCTCCATCATTTCCAACTGGGCTTTTGTCAGGGACAGAAATGCCAGTTCAACGTTACTGGACTCAGTGAACTTATTTGCTGGGAATCTTCTTCTAAGGAATGGGTCGGAAAATATACAGGAACACTTCATCTCTACTAAAGGCTACAGCATATATAAGAATACTTCAGGGAAGAGCTTTGATTTTTCTATGGAGTTGAATAAGACAAGAAACATAAGTGGGCGCGTGGTCATTCCAGAAGAAGAACTTTTGAAGTTACCCAGGACTTCTAAAGCAATCAGCATTGCATTTCCCACTCTTGGAGCTATTATAGAAACCAGCCACTTGGACCCTGTTTTTGTGAACGGAATGGTTTTATCTGTGTCTCTTCCAGAAGAGCTTCAGCATATTTTGCTTACTTTTGAAAAAGTGAATAAACTGGAGAACATCAAGGCTCAGTGCGTTGGATGGCACTCTGCTGAGAGGAGATGGGATAGCAAGGCATGCAAAATGAAGTCAGACAACATCAGCAGTGTTGTTTGTATGTGCAAGCACCACCGCCGGACGTTCAAATCCTTTTCCATTTTGATGTCCCCCACCATGCTGCGAAACGTGGTGTTGGATTACATTACATGTGTGGGGTTAGGCCTTTCTATTTTCAGCCTGGTTCTGTGCCTTACCATCGAGACTGTCGTCTGGCATCATGTTACAAAAACCAAGATAACCTACATGCGCCATTTTTGTTTGGTGAACATAGCTACGTCACTTCTCATTGCTGATATTTTATTCATTGTAGCAGCTATTGTGCACAACACAGCCCTAAACTACCGGCTGTGTGTGGCAGCCACGTTTTTCCTTCACTTTTTCTATCTTGCCTTGTTTTTTTGGATGTTTACCCTTGGTCTCTTGATTCTCTATGGATTGTTACTAGTTTTTTTTAAGATAACAAGATCTGCGTTCATAGCTGCAGCATTCTCTATTGGATATGGATGTCCATTAGTCATATCTATCCTCACTGTTGCTATTACTGAACCTAAAAATGGATATTTAAGGAGTGGAGCCTGCTGGCTTAACTGGTATGAGACGAAAGCCCTTTTGGCCTTTGTTGTACCTGCTCTGAGCATCATTGTTGTCAATTTGGCAGTGGTGGTAGTGGTTGTGGTGAAGATGGGAAGACCCTCTATTGGAGATGGCTGCAAGTCACAAGATTTGAGCAACATGATCCGAATTAGCAAAAACATTGCCCTTTTGACACCTCTTCTGGGCCTCACCTGGGGGTTTGGATTAGCAACAATCATTGATAGTCGCTCTCTGGCATTCCATGTTACATTCGCACTACTAAATGCCTTCCAGGTAAACCCAGCAAATCTAGGTGTAGTGCCTTCTCAAACTTTGACCTTGGGAAAAGGTAGCAGATCGAAGAGGGGCTGGCAGCATGTGCTGTGCTTGAAAAGCAGGCTATCCTTGCATCTTATCTATTTAACGCAGTAGCTGCACTAGATATTCTGCGTTGACATGGATGGAGATGGGCACTAGAAAAAACCAGTTGGTAGAAAGTCTAATGAAGAACTAAGAAGAAGAATTTATATTAAAATACATGGGATAATGTCAAGTAACTGCAAAGATATCTAATCCATATCACCCAACAAATACCCAGAAAATCTTACTTGCCATTAAGGATGATTTCGTTTAATTCACCAGTGTCAAAGTCCAATGTTACCTGACATACCATTGTATATCCATACTGCCTTAGTTCTTCTTGGCTAATGCTGCTATTAAGTATGTTGAAAAAATTCTGGTATGTAACCCATCAGTCCAGTTTGTAATGAGAATGAACATGAATTGGGTATCCATTCTTGGCATTCCTGGATAGTCCATGTGACCTGGGTAGGTAAACTCATTTGGGGCATTGCTGTTACTGTCACAGGTGATGAGATGTTTTACACTGATAAAAGCATTATTTTATCTATGCTAGAAGAAATATTTAAGAAACTTCATGTGGTTATGGTGTTTTGTAACTGTTTTTTATCTCCAATTTTTTTAGGGATTCTTCATCCTATTGTTTGGGACACTTCTGGACAGAAAGGTACTTGGGTCATTTTCACTCTAATCCTGGATTATGTGAATATCTTCTACACTTAGAAACTGTAACCTCTAATTTTGGGGGTCTGTTTTTAATCTACAGACCAGAGAAGCCTTGAAGAAAAACTGCCTTTCATCAAAGCGGAAGTGTAGTCTAGCAAAGGTAATTTTTTTTCACCCCTTAGTGGTCTTATTTAGGATTTATGCCAATTCTAAAAGTAGAATTTATATCACCTGCTCATTTATACATGGAAGGTATTTTGCAGGTAAAGGTATTAAACAGTAGAAGTGGCAATCTGTGACCTCTACATAACCTGCTGTTATTTTTTACAAAATTAAAAGTAGTACTTCGGTTTTCTCTCATCACACGTGCTACCAAAGTGCTTTAGAAAGAGAATATGTATGACTTTTCCCTTCAGTAGAATGGATCTATCTTGAAGTTACTAACTAAGTAAGATACAGAATTAGGAATCCAAAATCCTTATGTAATGACCTGTTTGCTTTCTTCACAAAAATATCTCTATGACAGCATCTCTAGTGTGTCAAGAGGGTTGTTCTGCTTCCAGCTGAATGTCAGTTCAGGAAACCACTCAGAGCTCAGCCAGCATATCTGGTGCTAATTAATGTTGTTAATATCAAGGCAATTTATTTAAAGGAAATGTTTAAATCCAAAGGAAACAAATGTGTTTCAGCAGCTTGCTAAGAAAATGTTGACAGCATAGATGTGTTGACATCATTGAGTTAGTGTTTCCTACCTCTGCTGGAAAACCTTTGTCTGTTGTTAAATAGATACCTTCCGTTATGAAGGCTTTAGAGGCACTAAAGATAATTCATTTATGCTACTAGCATTGCTGGTGTGCTTTGGGTCATTTGGTGTTAGAGAAGCCGATTGTGCAACTTTGGACTTCACTGCATCCTTCCTCTCCAATGTAGTCTTTGCTTGCATCCAGCTTTGCATTTAAACTTAGCACATAACAGCAGTGCAGAAGGTCCTCTTTTAAAAAGAAAAAATAAAATAGCCCTGCTAAAGTTAACTATGTCCCTGTCTAACAAGAAAAGGAAGGGAAGTTCCTGATTTGCTCCTTATTTAATAAACTCAGATTACAACTCCTGCTTTTCAGTTCTAGGATCCAAATAACAGTGAGGATGTAAATCCTCATATGAGGCTTTGGGTCAGGTTTGAAAGTTAAAATTTCACTCAAGTCACCACCAACAATATTCTGGAAAAAAGAGGTGGAAATAACACTAAACCAGTGACTGCGCAACACTTTCTAAAGGTGTTACCTCGCTGAGCAAAACTGGTTGCGGAAGCCATAACTGCATTTGGCTAAGCACTTGGTTTGATTCTGTCACTCACTTTGGTGGAAGAGACCACATGTAAATATTTACCATTGCATAACAGAGAGGGGTGGAAAATGTTAGTTACTCACTTGTAAAGTTGTTTGTGAATATGGAGCTTGACTCACCAGAGCTGGAAAAGTTTGTCAAGGTACATTTTTTATTTTTGTCTTCTGAGATGGTTCAGAGAGGGACTACATATCTGGAGTCTTAGTGGTGAATATTTAAAACATCTAGGGCTATGCAGACTCGTGTAGAATCAAAGAATATGTCAAGTTGGAAGGGACCCGCAAGGATCATGGAGTCCAGCTCCTGGCTCCGTGCAGGACCTCCCAAAACCAGACCCTATATCTGAGAGCGTCCCAATGCTTCTTGAACTCCGGCTGCTCAGTTGTGTGACCACTGCCCTGTGGAGCCTGTCCCAGTGCCTGACCACCTCTGGGAGCAGAACCTTTCCCTGACCCCTAGCCTGACCCTGCCCTGTCCCAGCTCCATGCCGTTCCCTCGGGTCCTGTCGCTGTCCCCAGAGAGCAGAGCTCAGCGCCTGCCCCTCTGCTCCCCTCGTGAGGGAGCTGCAGGCCGCCATGAGGCCTCCCCTCGGCCTGCTCTGCTCTGGGCTGAACAAACCAAGGCACCTCAGCTGCTCCTCATACATCTTCCCCTCCACACCCTTCACCATCTCTGTAGCCCTCCCTTGGACACTCCCTAATAGCTTTATGTCTTCCTTTTATTGTGGTGCCCAGAACTGTACAAAGTACTCGAGATGAGGCCACACCAGTGCAGACTGAGTTAGTCACTTCCATCAGCCAACTAGCAGTGCTGGGCTTGATGCACCCCAGACTTACTTCAGGTCTTCTAGCTTCTCCTTTCTTTTGGTTCAGATTTAAAGATGACTGTGGTGTTTCTCAGAGGATTTTATGGAAGTAGATTTTAAGTGTTTGAAGTGGAACCTCTACCTATATGGAAGATGTATCTAATCTGAGCTGCTGATTTTTCTCCTAGTCCTAGCAGTGGACAGTTGTCTTCAGTGGATCTGACCAGTGAGAGGACAAGGAGCAACTCTTGCAGAGAAATTCTGGTTTGAGATGAGCCTTAGTGGTGACCAGTTCAGAGTGTGGACAGCACTGTCTTGGAGCATGACCACAGGAAGCATCGTGAAAACCAGAAGAGAAAAGGTCCTGAACCTGCTGTCAGGAGCAAGAAAACCATCAGCGTTGCTGCAACCCTCAGAGGAAGCACAGTGACATGTAAAAGTTGTTTCTCACCGTTGTGAAAACTGCTGTGAGGAGAGTTTGTCCTCATTTGCCATTTCAGTGCTTCAAGTTCTTCCTGTTTTTGTTTTTCCACATCAGTGCAATAAGAAGCTGTACAGCATATGGGACTGTTCTAACATTTGTACATCACATTAAAAATGAAATAACGTTGAGTGTTATCTAGCTATTTTTGTCTGTCCTTGACCACAAATAATTCTATTAGGTGGGCCTAATAGAATTATTAGGTGGGCCTGAGACATCAGATGTCTCTACTTCTCAGGCTGAGGGACAGCAGTAACTGTTTCTGTGTTACAGCTCTGTTCTCCATCTCAGTATCTCTATGTCAGAGGAAATGTAGAAAACACTTTTCTAGTCTTTCAGGAACAGAATTGTCATTCTTTTTCTAGTCCTGCAACAAACGGGCAGATGAAGAAGGAAAAGCCCTCCACAAATAGGGCTTCCCTTCCCTCTTTAGATGTGGGAAAGCAAGCTTTGAATATGATTCAGAGTTGAATCAGGTGTAGATGGAGATCTCCTATATCACTTGTGGTGTACTAACCAAGGAAACAGTTCATCCACAGATGATTGTATATCTGGTTTTATTAGAAAGAAATAAAAGTCCTTGGAAAGAAACCCTTAGTAATGAAGACTTGGATATAAATGTGTTGTCTCTTGTCAGGACAAGTTGATGCTTTCAAATAAATAAAGTTGAAATTTTGTCTTTGTTTCTAGTAAGTGGTCCTTATCTTCCTCTATCAAAAGCTGTAGACAAACACCTTTTATAATTAGCTAATATTACTCAAGCCAAAAATGTCTCTTCCTATTCTGGCTTCTAGAGTTCTTCATATATGTTTGAAATATAGCCAATTTAATCAGTGTACTGCTGGCTTATGTCATCAGCACCCTTTTACTGAAGAAGGATTAAAAAATCCTGGCAGATGAACAGTGGGTTGTGGGGCATGTGATAAAATACTATGAAAAACCCACAGCTACTGTTGCGGAGAAGCTGGGACAGTGGAGATGGTGATCTGTAGGGCAGAGCCCTGGTCTGGGCTGTGAGAGATGGTTGCTCTTGTCCCCAGGAATCAGTTGCTGCCTTGCATTTTCCACTCCTGTCTTGTCTCTACAAAGACTCATTATAAGAGGCTACCCCTCCTCCTTCTTTTTTTTTTTTTTTTTTTTTTTTTTTTTTTTTGTGTGTGTCTGCATGCCTAAGAGCTTTGATTAAATTGAGATAAAATTGGGATCCTGTGTAACATAAATTTAAAAAGACTATTGCCCTCAAAGTCCACTTCTTAGTGTCAAACAGCATCTTCTGTGCTTGACATTTCTCTTCTTGAAGCAATTATAGAGCTTACTCCTTGCCTACCTCCCTTCTTCCCCCCCTGCAAATTGCATGTGTCATAGAGTTGTGCAATATATTTAAAAACACCTCTCTTTCCTGCCAGCTTTCCAGGGCTGCATTTAACTCAGATTTTTGTTGTTTGTTTTGTTTTGTTTTCCTGTTAACAGTGAAATTTTATTAATGAAACATTGGGATTTTTATGGTACCTGCAAACACAACAGGACTTGCCTCAACTGAACACTTTGCCCTTCCCTCATTTGTACATCCAGGTGTGTGTCAGACCCCAGTTCTTTGTAGCTGTGGATTTGCAGAAGCTGGCACAAACCACAGTATTTTGCCCTGTTTTTTATGATAATTTAGCTAATTAAGAATATCTGGGGTTTTACGGAGAACCAGTTAATGGTACAGGATGAGGGCAAGGACTGGAGATTTATTTTTATACCCCCAAATTAAACTGACCAAGGAAGTTTCATGAATGTTTTTTGAGAGGTGAAAGCTGTAGCTGTCCTCTAAGCATTGTGAAATGGTAATTTTTTTGTAAGTGTTGTGATTGATGGCTAAATTCTAATCCTAGCTAGGGGGGGAAGAAAAATCACTAGAGTTGAAATTCTGTTGTAACAGATTAATGTCAGTGCCAATTATTATGAGATAGACCCATTAATGTGCAGGGGTTTGTTTTGGAACTGTTCCACCAAGCCTGCCAGCGTAATCAGACTTGAAAACCTGAAGTGCTCTTCTTCACCAGTGTGGTGGTTTTACCGTGCTGGGCAGCTAAACCCCACAGCCGCTCTCTCACACCCCCTCCTTTAGATGAGGAGGGGGAGAAGGAAAGCAAAGAACAACTCACGGGTTGAGACAAGGATAATTTAATTAAAGGGAAATAATAATAACAATTATAATAACAATAATAATAACAATTACATAAAGAAAAAAAGAAAAAAGACAAAACCAGAAAAGTATAAGGTCATTTATCGGACGTGGAAGAATTCAATGTGGACCATTCCCGACGCTTCCATTCTGAGGTGGAAGATGACTGGAGTCAGAGTCCAGGCCGGGTGACTCCGTGCACGCTGTGGGGTTGGCCGCCGAGGAGCCCTGCGTGCACGAGCCTGCTGGGAGGTGCCATTTGCAGGCCCTGCAGCTGCGTTGGGCTGCACAGGTCCTCTCCTCCCAGCCGAGGGGCCGCGGCTGCTGGGCTGTCCGCGGGAGGTGTAGCGCCGCCGCGGGGATCTGCTGTGCACCCTCTCTCTGCCTCTGCTCCTCCGGCGGCGGGCACGTGAGCCACCCCTGCGCTCCTCGTGGTCTTGTGGCAGCCTGCACAGCACCCGCTCAATCCGCTGCCTGCAGAGAGGGCAGGTGCTGTTCCGCCTGCGCCAACGCCGGATGCACCTGTAGCAGAAGCGGTGGGAGCACGGGTCCACATAGGCGGCGTCCGTGATGTTGTCCATGCAGATGGGGCACAGGCTGTCTGCTGCTGCCTCAGCCGACTCCGCCTGCTGCAGCTGGCTGCTGCTGCCCCTCGCAGCAGGGCTGCTCTCCTCCAGGCGTTCCTCAACACCCGACGCCATGTCCTGCCAAGAGAGACGTGCCGACTGGCCGAGTGTGCCTTGCGCTAGCAGTGGGAACACAAGGAGAGCCCAAGACCGCGGTGGGAGAGGGGTGGCAAGGGCTTCCCGAGGGGCTCCTGGTGGGCCGAGAAGCAGTGATGGCAGCCTTTGGTGCAGCCTTGGACAAAGGGCCCTGGGCAGGGGGAGCCCGTGCAGCTCATGGTTGAGAGGCTGCATGCAGGGCTTGTCAGGAGCTGGGGCAGGGCAGACACAGGTGAGTGGGGCTGGATGGGATGTGCGTCTGCACCCTGTTGGACGTGTGAGGCAGAAGAGAAGGGAAGCCCTGAAGTCCTCCTCACTTGCCCAGTGCTCAAGCCCAAGGTGGGCTCTGGCATCCTGTCAGCAAGCGCTGGGGAAAGAGCTGGCTTGCCTAGGACCTCGGAGTCCCAAGGCTCCATCCCAAACAAAGCCAGAGTTAGCCCAGTGTACCTGAAGGAGGTGGTGAGAAAAGGCACAGCAATGCACTGGGAGCCTTCAGCACTGCTCACAGCCCCAGCACACTCTTCGTGTCCACAGCCACGGGACAGCCACTCAGTGGGAGCCTCAGCACCCCACAGCCAGGCAGCAGGGACAGCAGCACTGGCAGGGGGCTGCCTTGCCTCAGCGTCTCGAGCTGTCGCTCTCCGCAAAGCCAACACTTGGCCAGCACAACCACAGTCCTGCTCGAGCCTGCACAACTTGCGTGTGTGCCTGCACGAGCTTCGGACGAAGTGAGCGAGGACAGAGCCTGCGGCCTCTGCAATATAGAGAGGTCACACGCAGTCACAATCAGTGCTGGCAACATCACTGGGGTTTCCGTGGCTACCTGTTGAAGTTGCCCAGCAAGGATGGCAAACGCCCCAAAGAGGGAAAGCCTGCCTCACAGGGTATCGCCATCCGCTCGGCAACTCTCTCATCTTCAGGCCTCTTGGGTCCTGTGGTGAGAGAGCGGTGCCCCCTGAGCACAAAGGCCCAGCACCGGGCAGGGGAGCAATGCATGCAAGTGAGCACTGCTGACCTCCTCGGTCCCATCAGTGCCCAGATTCAGAGGCCCCTCCGAGGGCTGTCAGAGGAGAAGGACTCAGCTGGGAAAAGCAGAGGGAAAGCCCTTGAGAGGACAGAATGGCTGAGAGTGGAAGGGACCTCTGGAGGTCATCTTGGAAAATGTCCACACTCCAGCCGGCTCCCCTCCAGCAGGCAGCCCAGGACCATGTACTGGGTGGACCTTGAACCCTGCTGCATATTTGCTAGATGCACGAGGAAGGGAAACTAGAATTCCCACAGTTTTCCACTAGTTGAAAATCTTTCCCTGGGAAGACACAATGCCACTTGTGCAGGCAGAGTGACTCAGAGCAGCAGGCGCATTGCCAGGATGCCCTCTTGCATCTGGCAGGGCTGTGAGCATGGGGAATCACCCCAGATGAGGGCACATGCTGGTGAAGGAGAGATGGTTTGGTCAGGCAGGATCCAGGTACAGCTGCCTGCAGCCTCAAGAGCACAGCTGGGAGCTCAGCACCAGGGGCAGCACCACTGCAGGGCCCCAAATCAGAGAGTTTGTTTGGTGAAACTGCAATTTCCACTGTGGAAACGGAAGCTCAGGAACACACACAAGTGATCCCCAACTGTCTGAGATAGGGAAAAATTCCTTTCTGAACCTGCATTTGATTTAGCCCCAATAACATGAGGAAGATGTACAAAGCAGCACTTGGGACAATTTCCTCCATAGCAGGAAACCTGCCTAATGCCTTACTGTGGTGGTTTTACCGTGCTGGGCAGCTAAACCCAACAACCGCTCTCTCACTCCCCCTCCTTGAGATGAGGAGGGGGAGAAGGAAAGCAAAGAACAACTCACGGGATGAGATAAGGATAATTTAATTAAAGGGAAATAATTATAATAATTAAATAAAGACTACCATGAACTAAACAATTTAACTACGGGGAAATAAAAAGGGAAAGGGGAAAAGGGAGGGGAAAAGGGAAAAATAAAAAGAAGGGAGGAAAACAAACCAACAAAATAAATGAAGGCTATATGGTCCTTGAAGCAAGGCCTCAACGCACGCAGCCAGGCGTTCGAGAGGAGGACCGACGTTTTTCCAACGAGAGCCCACCCCTCCCCTCTTCTTCCTGTTTCCACCTTTTCTTGCTGAGTGTGACATCACATGGTATGGAATATCCCTTTGGTTGGTTTAGGTCAGCTGCCCTAGTGATGTTTCTCTCCTCACTTTTTGCCCCCCCCCTAGGAGGGTTAGAGAAAGGCCCAATGCTGTGCCACTGCTGCTCAGCAGTAGACACAACACTGGTGTAATACCACTGCTGTTCCAGCTACAAGTACAGAGAACGGCACTGTATGGGCTGCTGCCGGGAAAGTTAACATTCTAGCCAGACCCAGTACAACCAGGTGTTGCAATTAACAGGATACCCGTATTTTTCCCTGGACGTAGTGTTGGTTGCACGGCCTAGAGTAGACAGATATCAGAGCCCATTGGTTGGGTAGGTAAAATTGAATTATCTTGAATCAAGCTCGAAGCCAAAACTAGTTCTTGGGCAGAATATTAATTTTTCCATGTGTGAAGTCCCTCTGCTGCCTACAAAAGCCTCTAGGCAGTCATGCTCAGCAGGGCATCAGGAAGTGATTTAATTGTGAAAATGTTACTTGGCAAAGAAGCATTCTGGTGCTGCCTTGTGGTTAGTCTGCTTGGATTTTGGTGTCAACAGTATGCTTTGCTAGACATGTAGGGATAGTAAGGTAATATTCTTCCCTAAGTCAATCCATGCTTTAGGCTATG